ACAAATTGTTATTAACAAATTATTAAATATTGATTATAAGATATAACAGGTTATACTATTCGATTCTGCAGAAAAAGTTATAAAAGAAGAACGTATACTTTTTCTCATATCTTTATTTATGCAAAAAATAATAAATTTCACCACTGATTGAAATTTTGCAAAACTTTTGTAATATATTTTTTAAGTCAAACGTTTTTTTCTCTGATACTATTTCCATTTATTGTTTTTTGCTAACTTTGCCGGTATAGTCATGGATACGAACAAGTTTCAATAAATCTTAAAATATATTTTTTTGCGTAAATAAAAAACGATATATGAAAAAGTTATACTTGTTTCTTTTGTATCTTTTATTTTTTTTTTTGTATCTTTTTCCATAAAAACGATTGGTGTAATCAGTTTTCTTTACAATTAATATTTAATAGTCTTATTATAATAAATTTTTGCAAAATTGATTTTTGTAATATGTTCTTAATCCAGAAATAGTTTTTCACGCCCTGAACCTATTTCCAATTAATGTTTATTGCAAATCTTACTGGTGTAACCATGAGAATAAACATATCTCTCTATCTCTATTTATCTAAAAATTAATATACGAAATATTAATATAATATTCTGTTTCAATAATTCAACTGTTTAAATTATTCAACTATTAGCTTAAATGATATTGCTATTGAATCACGATTTATTCCAATTACGTACTCTACCGGAAATCCTGTTGACTCAATAGCATTTCTTTTTCTTATATATCTCTTTCCTCTCTCACAGAAATTCGACTTGTATCGTCTGGAACAAGGACCATCTGAACGGTCAGTTGTGAAGAAGGAGGAAGCCATATATGCCCTGAAGATGATGAACTACATACGTCGAATGGAGAACAGAGCCGCGGACATATACCGTTTGCGGCTCATCAACGGCTTCCTGCACTTATACGCTGGTCAGGTATGGACAAATAAGATGGAGAATTCAAAAAATCGCGAAACGATACACGCCAACGTCAAAACATTCAATGTTGCGTCCGGATGAAATTCGAGTGTGTACTATATTTCGCGTTGCGCCTTTGTAGGAAGCCGTGGCTGTTGGCATAAAGATGGCTATGGATAAAGAGGATACCCTTATCACGGCGTACAGGTGTCACGGTTTTACCGCGGTGTTCGATACGCCCGCTCGCGCGATTTTCGCAGAACTTATGGGTCGCAAAACCGGCGCTTCGAAAGGCAAGGGTGGCTCCATGCATATGTATGCACCACGCTTTTACGGCGGCGATGGCATCGTTGGTGGACAGGTAGATCGCTCAACCACTTACGTGACCGGATGCGTTAGGACATCGAACAAATTCTCGCGACATTAGGTACCGATCGGCACTGGCATGGCTTTGGCGCACAAATACAACAGCAAAGGTGCTGTGGCCTTCACATTGTACGGAGATGGCGCGGCATCGCAGGGTCAGATCTACGAGGCCTGGAACATGGCGAAGTTGTGGAATCTACCCGTGGTTTACATATGCGAGAACAACAAATACGGCATGGGTACAGCCGTGCATCGGCATTCTGCCAACACGCAGCTTTATACACGTGGAGACCTCATACCGGGAATAAAAGTAAAATATCGCCTTTCAAAACAAAACAAATATATGTATCAGAATTGGGGAAGTTACCTTTGAAAAGTAACTCATTATTGTTACTTGTTATTCACGCAGAAAAGAATGTGCTTAATTTTCTGATAATGAATAAGTTAAACGCGAATTGACTTGTCTTTGCCAAAACTACTGAGAAAATGATAAGTATTTCTAGCATACCTATCATTTTGCATGATACATATATCATACGGTCTATCGATATCATATTGAGAACTTGTAATATATTCCGTTATAACCGTAATAACGTAATAACGATTACGTAATAAAATAATTGGAAATATAATTTTTTCCATATATTTATATATTTTTTCCATATATTTATATATAATGATTTGTATTGTATCAATTAAAAAGCAGTTTATCGACTCTGCAGAAATATTCAAAGAAAAAATATTTGCTATCTTTGTTATAAAAATGATTTACACCCCCACTCGATAATTACACGATCAAATGCGTATCTTTCGTGTACAGACAGACGGAATGAAGGTCGTGGATGTACGAAATGCCATACGCTTCAGCCGCGAATACGCGCTACGTAAGGGACCAATTGTGATCGAGGTTGCAACTTATCGTTTCTTCGGACACAGCATGAGCGATCCGGGTGTAGGATACCGTACCAGAGAAGAAGTCAAGTATATGCAAACCGAGCAAGATCCAATCACAACGTTCAGCCAACTGGTTATACAGAAGAAACTCATGACAGAGAAAGAGACCCAGGTAAACACTTAGGTAATTCTTATATTACGAGTATTTATTATATTCTTCTGAATTATTTTTCTTTGTGTCTATTTCCATATTTCGGTTTATAATATAAAACGATAAAATTTTATAATGAAGCTCTAATTAATTTCTGTTACATAAATAGGACATACGAGAGGCGGTTTACAAACAGGTTGACCAAGAACTGGAGCAAGCGAAGGCTGATGCATGGCCGGAAATGTCAGAAATTTCGACGGATGTTTACGTGAAACCTATGGAGAAGGTGCGCGGAAAAGCTCCTTGGGAAACATTCTAAGAGTATAAGAATGCATCTTAATTTTCCCACCAAGCAGGTATCGAAATTATCCCAGCGTTCAGGAATCAATTCATTTCACATGTTTATGACGATATAATGTACACATGAAAATACACTACGAGATTCGGAAGCAAAATATTGAGTTTAATCTGATTGATAACCGTTATGCTTTGCTAGTCTTTGAGTTTCGCTGATATCCTTTGGACGCATCTTAATTTTTTTAGTGACAAATTTATTAAAATCAGAAGAAAATTATTTGATTTCTAAATGAAATTAATATCACTTCTCACCAATAGAGCACAGCAAGATTGCAATAACATTGTAGCAATGTTTCCCCGCGAGATTGCAAGACTGCAAAAACTGCGATTGTAATGTTGCAGCAACGTTATTAGCTGTCAGGGATTGCTCACATATAGATTCTGTTAACACTGATCTCTCGAAGACTTTTGACTCAGTTGGTCACAACAAAATTTTATCTAAATTATACGCTATATGGATTCATTAATTGCTTCATAAGTGAAATTTCAGCTTTTTAATTAATAGATAACAGATTATTGAATACAATAACTCATTTTGTAGAAATATCAATGTACTCTGTAAAATATCTCAAGAATTGGATTTGAGCTTACTATTAATATTTTCATAAATAACGCCTCGTAGTATTTTAAGCTAAGCAACTTTTATTGTAGCAATTTTCTTTAAGCAAATTTTATTGTATGTTAATGACTTGAAAATTGGTAAAAGGATAATAATGTAGACGATACCATGTGAACACATATATAATATTAATATATATTATATACACTATACTATATACCATACTATTACTATATATTATATACTATACTGTTACTATTTATTATAGCCAGGATGAGAGGGAAATCCAGCCACACAACTAAAGTGCGGGAATATATTTTCTTCTCTTTCTGAATATATTGGAAACGTAATGCACATGCATCGGATTAACGTCTTGGCCAATAGAAAAAAAAAATATATTTTGACACATGTGTGTGTGTGTTAACTGCTTCGCTTTTATGACCGCTCCCTCTTATAGGACAACTGGCTATATAATAGTATTACAAATATGGTAGGAGCGTTAGAAAGCTAGTTATAAAACTGGTTACTACAGTACGCAGTGAATGCCGCAAGTGTTAAGTGGAACGGCGCAAAGGATGATTTAGGGTGCGTTCGAAGAGACGCTATTTAGCTTTACCGCGTAATTCTTTATTACTCTTTACATGTCCAGCAAGGATAGAATGACACGCTAGTGCTAAATTTGTCTCCTCGAATGCACCTTTTGTGTCTTTGCGATCGTTATTGTCGATCCACAATAGGTATTTTAAGCCTTGAGCCTTAAGAAATTGACCAATCACAATCAAATATGAAGAAAATTATTAACTGTGATTGGTCAGTTTCTTAAGTCTGAAGATTTAAAATACCTATTGTGGACCGACACTTGTGGAACGCATTCAATAGGTATTTTAAGCCTTAAAAAATTGACTTATCGCAGTCAAATGTGAAGAAAATAATTTACTATAATTAATCAATTTCTTACGGCTTAAAGCTTAAAATACCTATAATAGACTGGTCCTAATGAGCTGCAGTCCCTGGCCAATTACAAGGAACGAACGAAAAATTTCAATTAATAATGGCGTCTCCTCGGCCCAAGTCACCTCGTACTCCGATTTCTACAAAAAAAGAGGACAAGGAAGAGAGTTTTTGGGATAAAATTGGGACGTTGGGACGAAAGAAACGCATAAAAGAAGGTATAGTTTTATCTCGTATATTTCAATAACGTGAAACTTGCACAAACTTGTTTAAATAATGTAATGAAGGTTATATCCTTATATGGTGTGAGACATTGTGTTATTTTTAGATGATGAATATGGGAGTGTGTGCGCATGTGTGTGATTGGTAATATTTTTGTTGTTTTATTTGGTAATATTTTTAATATACATATTTTTGTCTAATTGATTATTCTATTTGTGAGATTTAATTCATATTTATTGTCTCTACAATGAATGTCATTCAATTATATTTTACATAACTAAAAATAAATAACACTGTATAAAAACTCCAGATATCATATTTTTAGTACAAGATGTACAAGAAGAAGGAAAATATGCAATTGATTCACCTGGGTATGCAGCTAATCCTGATATGCCACCAGAGGAATATGCTCTTGATGAAAACGAGGAACGTTCCATGATAGAGCCAAAATCTTTGGAAGATCCCAAGCTTCAAGAATTGATATCTGTATTAATCGAATGGATCAATGATGAGTTGGCTGATCAGCGAATTATTGTGAAAGACATTGTGGAAGATCTTTATGATGGACAAGTGTTGCAAAAACTTTTAGGTATATAAATATGTGCAATTTGAAACATCTCTACATAAAGTAGGTTTTCCCAATAGGTTGAATTTTATACACTTGTAAAATTTTTATCTCAGAGAAGCTAACTGGAGAAAAGCTGGATGTACCTGAAGTAACCCAATCAGAGGAAGGACAGAAACAAAAACTTGCTTTAGTCCTGACTGCCGCTAATCGCGTACTGGGTCGTTATCCACCTTACAAGTGGAATGTCGAATCTGTACATACAAAAAACATTGTTGCAATTTTGCACCTTCTAGTCAGCTTAGCCCGACTTTTCCGTGCTCCTGTTAGATTACCAGAAAGGGTTGCTGTTCAAGTGGTTGTGGTTCGTAAAAAGGAAGGTCAACTGATACACAGGACAGTGAGAGAAGAGCTGACGACAACTTATGATGATTTAGGTATGCGTTGTGAACGTGATGCATTTGATACTCTTTTCGATCACGCACCTGATAAATTGGCTGTCGTTAAGAAAGTGAGTTCATTAAATGATTTTATCGATAATTGCGATTTTTCATTATCTTTCTTTCATCGATGATGACTCGTATTCATCATCTAAACAAATGGTTGCCTCTTTCTATTCTTTTAGTCGTTGGTGACATTTGTTAATAAACATTTGAGCAAAGTCCATTTGGAAGTAACTGATCTAGACACTCAGTTCCATGATGGTGTCTTTCTGACGTTGCTACTTGGTCTTTTGGAAGGCTTTTTTGTGCCACTGGGTAGTTTTCACTTGACACCACAGACCATTGACCAAAAGGTTCACAATGTTTCGTTCGCGTTTGATATTATGCGAGACATCGGGCTACCAAAACCCAAAGCTCGTCCTGAAGGTTTGTAATTTTTCTCAGAGTGGTAACTGTGAACGTCACCACCCTAAAAAAGATTGTTTTTATCTATAAATGCAATTTTTTGCAGATATTGTAAATTTGGATCTTAAGTCTACGCTTCGCGTGTTATATAATCTTTTCACGAAATACAAAGGGATAAATTGATGGTATTAATGTCGACACGCTGCTTTTACGTAAATGCGTTTTCATATTTTGATATAATGAATAAATTAATTACACTAACACTTATATACGATATATAAATTTATTATTGTTTACTTCCATTAAAGGTTGTTTATATAAAAGTGCTTAATTGAACAGTGAGAAGTGAAAAGTTAAATAGAACAGACAACTACATACATGGTTAGCTTAATGTAATGTGCCTTTTTACATCATATATAATGTATAATACAACATATATAAGGTGTTTAACTCAAGGCGTGCCATCCGTTGTATACTTGTAGTTTAGATTAATGTTGATAAAAAAATCCCTATTTTACAAACAACAAGCAGAATTTCGAGTTTATTAATGATTGAAAATGGCCATATATAGGCCATATATATGATTTATAAGTACGTGACAGCTGTTATACTTAGTGACAGACAGTAAGTATTAGGTTGTTACAAAAGTTTTGTCAGTTTCTTATACGTGTTTTTTTGCAGTAGATTTTTTTTACTAGTCTTTGGTAGTGTATAGCATTCAAATGTGATTAAAAAACTTATAGAGTTTTTGTAACACCCTAATATATTAAACCTCGAACCTTGAACCTGTTGCTAGGCACAACTGTCATATACGTGTTTAGGCCATTCTGAACAAGAAAATTCTTTACCAATAACAAAGTTCTGTGAATAACACGCAAATTTTTGAATTATTAATTAATTATTGATTAATGAAGCCTCTACATAATTATCCATTTTTAACAACTCAAAATTTTGCGTGTTTGTAAAATGATAGAGAATTTTTTGTTTACATTGACCTAAACTATATGTTGTATGTGATAATTGGCACATCTTACGTAGATACTTTGTATATATTATATTAATATTTATTTACAATTATAACATATATTGAAGTTTTCTATAAATTTTGATATTTATATTAATATACATATTATATATTCTATTGTACATTGAACCATCCTGCTTACACAATAAGAATTATCGCAAAATAATCAATTATATATACATTTGCAAAATTTGCTATTGTGTGTGAAACAAGAGAGAAGAAAATTACATTACAATCTACATGGTAAAAAAAAGTGTGTTGAATTGAACACATTTTACATGTCCCAAACGGCCAAGGTAAATATGTTGGAAAGTAACATAAAAGTAACACAAATATTATCTCCAGAATTACATAAAATTAAAAAACATTAATACAAAGTAATCGATATTGAAGTATAAAATATGTTATTTTAACACTTAGAGATGTTGAATATTGACACAAAACAAAATGTTGAATTAACTTAAATACAATATGTTAAATTAATACATAGGTATGTAAAAAATTTAATATAAAAATCTCAACAAGAACCGATTTTAAAGTGTAAAATGTCTTTTATTGTATATTAAAATATAAAAGAATGAAATATAGTAGCTTGAACATGGAGAAGAAAATAAAAAAAGTGTATAAAGATAAAAAATTATTAAGACAATTTATGATTGTTTGATTGTAATATCAGTATTATTGCTCTTTACTCTTTTGAAATTGTGTCAACACGATCGTACTTCCTGCCAATCGACGACGTACAATGCAGAACATCAAATGCGGCTCCGCATTTCGCGGCTCTGCAATGATGAACGCTATAAGATAATTGCCGTTTCGCTAGCATAGATGCAAATTACAATAAAATTAATGATCACGTATGTCCCCTTAGTAAACGAAATAGATAGCACATGTATACATTCGCCGCCTTCGATGGATTGTCGTGCAGTATCGCACATACATTTATTTCCAGTATTTTACATCTCGAAATTGTCGTCCATTTTGATACATGCTTTATCATCTATCAATATTTGAGCTCAATGATCACAGAACAAACGCATAAAAACGCGATATGTTCATGTGAGTCGCGAGTAGAGAAACAGAATTGCAAGGAAAACGGGCGAATTACCAGCCGATTGACAAGAGGGTCCGAAATAATTACACAGAAGTCATTCGTTTCCTTAGAAAGCGCTTGTAAATGCAAAAAGCAACATCCGTGAAGACGAAGTCTGTAAAAAATTGAAATAAACTCAATCGCCGATATAATCGAAGTTTTGACCACGCTCACAGGTTTCGTTCATCTTAAGTTAATTCCTATACAACTTGCGCTCTATCAACATGGATTTCGGGAACGTGAATTCTTTAAATAATCGAGTGAACCTGCTGTCAGGCAACCTGCTGCCGATATTAAGCGGTGATTATGCATTTCCGCTGCACTGGCGCGTATACAATACCGTTGTTTGGCTAATCGAACTGATCCATACCATCGCTCTGATCTTCGGGCTCGTTTTAACGCCGCGGGAAAAAGCTCTGAAGGACGGCACTGTGTGCGTCGTAGTCACCTTGGAGGCGTCCTTTATGCTCACACGACTTTACAGGCGCAGAAAGCTATTGGAACGAATAATCGGCAAGCTGAACGACATTCTGCGCGACTCGGACGAGACGATGAAGGACATAGTGAGGTCGACTTTGAGTCTGATAATAAAACCGTTTACAGTGTACGGTATAGTAAGCGCGTCAACCGTTATCATATGGACTATACAGCCAGTTACGAAGGCCTTCGGCAAGGACACTTTCTTCTACACGGATTACAACTTGCCGACAGCATTCACTACCGAGCCGTTCTCGCGTAGTGTGCTGCTTGCATCCACCGTCGTCATGACAATCGGCAGCGTACTACTGTTCCTGAAGAAATACGGTGTGGACGTATACATGATGCATCTAGTGCTGATGTTGACCGCGCAGTACCGATACACGGCGGAGAAACTGACGCTGTTGTTTCGAAATTCACAGAGAGATGATCGCGTCGATGAGTGTCGCGACAAGACGGTTTGTCGGAACGGGACGAATTGGCAGACGGAAAGGGAGCTGAAAGCATTATGTCGCCACCATAACACGGTTTTACAGTAAGCGCGGCACGATCGCGGAATCGACATTAAACGTAACTTGTAATTAAACAAATAAACTCATATCAAACAATGGAAGAGGTTTCTTTGTAAGAGTAATCGAACCGCCAAAATTATTGGCTGACTCGATTAAATCCAATTAAACTTCTAGTTTCCAAAGAATTAACATGCAGCGATTTCAAAGTCTTATTCAACAATCAAATGCATCATGCATATCTCTTACGATATTTTCGCACGTCCCATGAATATGTTTTTCGCGCTATGTTACAGAATATCGTTTATGTTGAGGCAACTGCTATCTGTGAACTTCAGTTTATTGTACGTAAACAGCGTCTTTCGCTTCTGCTTTATAGGTATCCTAATGAGTACAGTGAGTACTGACTAATAACATTAATTGATCCATAGAGACACATTTTACAATTAATTAAAATTGGCTGAATCGAAAGGTCTATGTTCGAGAGAAAAGAAAATTAAAAAAGTCTTTCCTCTTCTGACTACTGACACGTCCTTATGCATTTGTAGATACCATTGCTGACTTTTGCTGAAGGAATTTCCATTATTTTGTTCTCACTCGGCTCGGTAATACAATTCTTCCTGCTGTGTTCCTTCGTACAAACGCTGTCGGACGCGGTAAAATGTTTCATATTACATATTGCACATATTACGTACTAAAATTTTTTTCAGAAACAAAAATTTTGATACAAAATATTGTAATATTGATACAAAAAAATGATGTAAAAAATATTTCAAATTATCACATTTTATATCGAATTTTTAGAGTACGAAAATAACGGATAAAGCATTCGACGAAAACTGGCATCAGTATGGTTCATCAATAAAACGTACATTTTTATTACTGATAATGGCCAATAATTTGAAGTGTCAAATTTCGGCGATTGAAAAGTTTAATTTGTCTCTGCCCTCTTTTATGACGGTAAAACTCGATATAACATTATTATTTCACGTTGCGAAATTATTAGCGTCTTAAATCTTTCTTGCCAAATTATTCAACGATTTATTGTAATATTTTAGATCATGAACCAATCATACTCGATCGCTCTTTTGTTTCTAAGAGCAAATTGAATGCAACATGTTTCAAAAATAGTAATTATAAGAAACAAGACCACATCGGTTAATTTTAACATATAATTAATAATCATGTATCGTGTATGTATTTAATGGCAAATGATTACAGAAGGCAAAGGGAGTTAGGAGATGAGATTTCAAAATGGAAAGCTCAAATGAGTCTAATCTGTATAATAATGCGCAAAATGAAATTATAATTCACACTTGCTCACAATTATATAATCAAGTAGCACGAATAGAAAAGTTTGCAAAAATAATCCATAATAATCGATTTGATAAAATAAAGAACTAAAGATAACACACACAAATTTAACATTACATTTATAACATGATACATAATTTCTCCAAAAAATAAACCTCTCAATTAATCTATCAGGAGACTTACCATGTTTATTGTGTTTGTTAATTTGTTAAATTTGAAACACATTGTGACATAGCATTAGCACAGTGAATGTCTATCCCAACGAAATAAATACTGGATCCAGTGGATTAATTTTCAATTACTTCCTCACGTTGAGCATCGTTAGGTACTGCGACTCATTTCGAATGCGTTTTGTAGCGCTACAAAGAACAATGGGATGCTATAAAAAAAATTGCTGTATTTTCCCGGGAATGGGTGCAGCATTCACGTTAATTAATTCGGTATTTGCAGGATGATCGTAGAGCATACACATCGATAATTTTAATCACACGTTTTCCGCTCAACAAATAAACTATACAACAAACGTAGCATCGTATTGAACGAATCGTCGTTTCGCAGCATCGCTCTTGATAATTAAGTATTTATACACTCGTATGTTTCTTCATGGCAGATTTTTCTATTGAAATTCTTATCCTCCCTGAAGCACCCTACATATATATATATATATATTGACATTTGCCCTGATCGGACCACCAAAAACGTAGTATACTTCAGCTCTATATATCATATATTTATACGAATGTTTATTAATGAAAGAAGTATTTTCTATTTTTTATATGTTATATAAATATCTCCCAAAATTTCATTTTCGTATATTTATTTGTGACAAAATATTGCCAAAAACAAGTAGTTTTCGGGAAATCTGACCCTCCATTTCCTTTAATGATGCGCGCATTAAAGTGAGAAAATTCATCGGGATAAAGAATGTATCCATGCTCCATTGTATCCATATCTATATCTACAATGATAATCTGATAATGCGCTACGTGACTATGAATGACATGAAGAAGATAAAGATCTCTCTGCGTTTATCTTTGTTCAATTCAATTCGCACTTTTCAATTCGCGTCACGATATTCAATAATTCATCAAAATTGTAAATGAAATGGTTAGTTATAAATAATGTCACACTTATCTAAAATTTTAGTAGTAGACAATTGGCGATAATTATCTTTGCTCTCTTAAATAGAATCAACTTTTTACGATTGAATCTACCTATAAAGATATAAAATATAAATAATAAAACAATGCTATGAGAGTAATATTTTATACAAAAAAATATGACAGAAATAAAATAATTAAAATATCTCGTTCACATTTTGAAATTGTTTTACTTAATGTTTCGAAATTAATTATTTTTACAGTCGACGAGAAGTATTTATAGATCTACAAAAAAAACAGTTTTATTTAGAAAATAACTGAAAAATTGAATTCCTCTTTACAAAAAAATAGATTATAAATTGAATAAGCGATATAAACGTAATTATTTTTAGACATTTACATTCGCAAATTTACGTAGCAATATATAAGTGCTTATCATTTGTACATTCCGGAAACATCCTTGATCTTCACGAGATTGGCGTGTTGCTTATACCGTCAACGTAAGCGGACTTCTGCCAGTCTGTCGTGTAACTCTCTCGAAACATGAACGATCCATCAGTACGTTACTCGCTCGCGGACGTCGCTAAATACAACGGCAAAAATGGGACCAAAATCTGGATTGTGATCAACGATTACGTTTACGATGTGACGAATTATCTTCACCGGGTACATTTCTTTTGATGTATTTTGAAATTGACGAATAAACGACACACGTGGCGGTAATATTTTAGCGTATCCATTTACAGTGAATTGTGATGTGATTTTGATGGTGTGCATGTGTGTGACACATTGGCATTTATTTCGTGAATTTACCGAGCATACAGAAAGAATATTATAGCTTTCTTTCATCATCAACGTTGTTATTCTATCGTGTTTCCAAGTAATGCAAAAACCGATTATCAGTAGAGTTTATCTTGCTAAGGATTAAATTTAACAACAAAAGCTTTCAATCTCTAAACTATAAATAGAACTTATAAAACGAAATGATAGTAAATTAGAACAGAATGTCGATACACTGAGAGAAATCTCATTCAAATTATAATCATTTTCAGTCTTGAATAATTGTAATTATAAGTATTATATGATTTCAAATAAATAATTGTAATTTGGTAATTTTTCTGTTTTAACCGAAGAAGTAGTAATAGTAATATATATATAACAATATTATTACTAATATTATAATAACATTTCAAGTAACAATATTATTATTAATATTATAATAACATAGAAAAATAGTTCTCCTGACTATAGTTTTTTCACTTATGCGATTATAGTTATAAATTAAGAGATTTTTCTCAGTGTATATTCCTCGGCTATAAAATTTTACAATGAAGTTTATATTATACAAAATTATATTGATTAAATTAAATAATTATCTTTATATATAAATTGTATTTATTGGCACAGACAGGAAAAGGACGATTCCTCGCGTTTAACTGAATGATTTTGGCTAGTATCTCTGTAAACATTTTTTTGCTTTCTTTTTAATTGTATGATATAATAAATTTAATAGAAAAATCATAACATAATTAAAATTAATTACAGCATCCCGGTGGTGCAGATTTGCTGGAAGAATACGCAGGAAGAGATGCAACGAACGAATTCGACGAGTTTGGTCATTCCTCAGACGCAAGGAAAATAATGAAAGAGTTTTTAATTGGTGAGCTAGAGGATGTAAGTATATGAGTTAATTAAGCATAAAAGCAATAAATAACATTTTCGGAAACTATACTGGAGAGAATATTATACAAATTTTTTCTAAATATATTCTTCCTTACTTTACTGTTCTCTAATAGTGTAGGAATAGATTATTAGTAGAATTTTATCTTGCTAAAGATCATTTTCATATATTTTTTATTAGTAGACTTAGTTTCTAAAACATAAACATTACATATAAAATAAAAGAATAATAAATTGAGATAGAATTTTGATATATTTCTTGGTTATAAAATTTTAGCAATTTTTATTATGAAACTTTCTTTCCATGTAATTGACTTTACAAAATGAATTTCTATGCATCTTATAAATGAAAGTTTTTCGCATGGAAACTGTTAATAAAATGTTACTGAATAAATGACACGTATATTGCAGGAAGATAAACGAGCTAATAGAAAAAAAAAGCAAGTCTCTAGCGGAGCGATAGCGGGAGAAACGTATAAGCAGAAACGAAGGTGAATTTTTGCATTCTTAGAACATATATTCTGCATTTTTTAATATTACAATCAATAATCTCTTCTCTTGGTAACATTTCAAGTTAACATCGTTTAAGCAAAAACATTTTTAATTATCTAACTAGATTAATCTCGCAGCTGTTATTAGACCTATACTTTTTTGTTTTAGAGGCTTCTTGGCGGTTCTCTGCGGCAAATGCACATCTTGAAAACTCCGTCGATGATCGTTGCAATCATCGTTTTTAGGCATGTTATAAATATAATTTTATTTATTACGTCACTTTATCTCCATATATTCGTTATATTTATGTTACGTGCCGTACATGGTAACGTACGTAATATCGATAAGTGTTGTCGAAATTGAAGGTCATTGTCTGCTTATCATTGACGTAAGTGCGCGATGCGTACGGGGAATCCTGAGCGCAAACGAGGAAAGTCAGTTACGTACGCGAATAAAAATGAATCATCTGCCATCTGCTTATCGCATTTTAAGACAGTGACGAAAGAAACGAACAACTCATCTCGGTGAAATTTCCATCTCTAGAGTCACGTTTTGCTATCAGCTTTTTGAATATCAGCTAGCAATACTAATTTTTTCTTTAACCTTCTGAACGGACGCATATATTCAATTGATAAATATTACCGATATAGACTACAAATGCGTATATGAGTCTGACGAATTTTTTCGGCTTTTATTTCTGACAACAGCTATTAACTATTGCAATGGGCATTCATGTTTTTTATGTATCTTAGCAGTGGCGATTAATAAGATTTTATTTGTCTAAATGCATTACTTTTAATTTTTCAAGAAGTTATTTCTTTTATTTTTTATCGATTGGCTTGCGACAACCCAAAATATTCCGTCCTTGGAAATTATTTAATTCTAAAATGCATCGTAATCAAAAAGTTAATCAATCAGCTTACAACATAGATTTCTAACAACATAGATTTTGAATGAACGGTAATATTGAATGAAATTCTTTTGATTTATGGCAAACTGTGTTCAACAGAGATATCGTTGACGCGCGAGAAAAAAAGGAAAATTACAGGCATCAATGAAATCAAATTGTGGAAGATGGCAATAGGAGACCGATCCGAACAAAGCGATATGCACAAAGCAGATAACACATTCTCCACGGAGCGATATCGGTTATCGCTTGTCATGAAAAATATTTAGAATTCGTAGAACGCGAAGGGAAAGTCCACTTTGTGTTATATAGGGTGTCTTAGATCCACAGAGACGAACTTCGCAAGACCGTAATACGAGTTGAAGTAAACAAAAAATCCCTTACCATTTTGCAAATCATTCAAAATCTCGAATTATTAATAATTGAAAATAGTAATCTATAGAGAATTCTTTAATTAATCATTCAAAAATGTGTATGCTTTTCGGTAAACGTAGATGCTTATCTGCAAAATGGTGGAGGACTTTTTTGTTCAGAATGACAATCTACAAGTATATGACAGGTATTGTACCTAGCGATAGGTTCAAAGTTCGAAATTCAAAATTCAATATACTGATGTCTATAGCTAGATACAACACTGTAATATATTAGGTTGGTATTCAAGTATAGATGAAATGTTATATTAGAGTTATATAGAGTCACAGTGACGAGTAATCTACGCAAATGCATCCTGCCAAGCGTGATCCTAAATAATTAAATATTTTATTTTAATAATGCCTGTTGTTGCCTGCATTTTGCAAATAAAACAAATTATTTTTGATATTTTTACAACAAAAATATTTTACCCTATAAAAATACGTATTTTTGACATGTGGAAATATCTTTTTTTTAATGATATAAAAAAAATATGTTTTTCAAACACGTACTGGGGTCATATTTTGTTAAATATTAGAATTATTTTTCAACTTTGTTACTCTATTGCAGCAGATCACAATAATAAAAAGTATAGAAATTACTATTTCTTTAGTAAAACACTACCATTCGCGAGACCACTGTTTGAAATCGAATATTTTACTAATTAGAATATAATTTCTTATGAATATATGATCAAATATTAAAGTGGAAAAGTTACACTTTATTCTAGAATTTTGTTAATCTCTTTCCTTTTACAGTTTTTTAAATATGGAATTTAAAAAATTACATATAAGGTCAGTATGACCTTAAGCCTGTATGCAATACGAGCGACTTTTCAGAAATGTGTAGTTGAAGAACTAAGTATATAATTATAATAAAGTAGCAAATGTGGAATAGTAACAGAAATTGATTGAGAAATTGATCATTTTATATAGTCAAGGCAATCGTAATAAATCACAAATAATATTATGTAACAACATTTTAACATATATTTTATCATATATAGTAAGTAGCTTTAATATGCGGACACTATACAATTTTTTACTTTATCGCATTAATTTTGTTTGTAACAAAAAAAAAGAAATATTTTGTTATGTATATAATATTGCGACATTATATCTAATTAACAATAGTGTAAATTTTACTTATATAATGTGTAATGTTTGTTATATAATATGTTTTAAATGAATTGCCTGATGTCTGATTTTGAAGTTACAATAATTTTCGTAACTTCAGAATGTAGCAATTCACGTAAGCTATTCTAACACTTAATTCAAATGTAAGATATATTTGTAAACATTGTAGTCTGTGTGTAAAGTCTCAAATCTCTGGAAACTAGATCCGATTTTAGTCATTATGCTGCCTGGGAATGTGCGGAAAACTGTAGGACGATTTCTGCAGACATGGTTTTGTTCAAAATAGTAGAAGATTTTTCGAATCTACATTAATGATATGTATTAGTGATCTCTGAATGACGGGCGGTGTGATAATGGTCAGTAGAAATGTACAGTTAGCATCGTATAACACTTGTTGTCGTCAACAAATTTGCGCTATCTTAAATAAGATTTTGTTTGCAAAGTTCATCCTACGGTATCATACGCATACATTCTCTATTATAATTTAATAAATTCCTTAATAACTACTGTGAAATTTACGAAATGATAGGAAATTTTTTAATTTGATCCGTTCTCTCTATCTGCATACAAACGTTTTGTTTTTAATTGAATGACACTTTGGACATTATAACCATTTATAAATACCGTTTATAAATACTATTTATAAATACCATTTATAAAAAAAAAATTTAATATATTTATTAAAATTAAAAAAAAGTGTAATCTCATAATTATCAGTTATTTCTTCTCTTAAGTCATTATATGTTAAGCCACATACGTTAAAGTAATATAAATAACATCTTAAGGTTATTTTGATAGTCAACGAAATGATCTTGTTCATGTTCCTCGTTGGAAAGCAACCACTGATGAAATATTTTAATTTACATATAAGAAAAAATTAATAAGTTAAAGTTAAAAATAATTAATTTAAGTTAAAAGTTAACTCATTTTAACTAAGTTAAGGTAAAAATGATTAACTTTTTAATTTAATTTTTAACTGATCAACTGGTTATTACTCAATCCTAGGTAGGAATATAGGTTTTTTTGCATTGATGGATCGTTATTATGTGGCTAATCTATTTGTGAAAATATGTAATTTGGATAATGCCGGTTAGCCATGAGTGAAGTGACCGACATTAACCAGGATTATATTCTCTTTGTCGAGAATTTTGTAGAGATGATGAAATATGGTTTTCCGCTGCAGATTTTGTGGACTTAGACGCATAAAAATTGCACTGATTGAAATATCATAGATGGATATTATTACGATGCAAATTAATAAACAATTAACAATTTTTCCAAGATATTATATTTCAAGATATTACGTAGAACTTTGTCATCTCTTCTTATATGATATATAGTATAAATGTTCGATTTTCAGTGAAATGTGTATTTTCTCTGATTTTATACATTGTAAACATCGCTAACCGGCATTAACCTGAAGTCAAGGTAATCCCGATCAAATCTCACTTTTCGCTTTTTCATTTGTTTCTCTGATATATATTTCTATGGAATTTTTTGCATCAGTCTATATTATAGTAAATACCTGTAGGTATCTATTGCATCAAGCAGATTTTGAATCTCACATTTCTTACCTGTTTCATGAGAATTTCTATTTAAGTGACCGCCATTACCCCGTTTTATTCTACGTAATGCAAGTTTCATTTTTAATTCTTTCGATTCTTATCCGATTCGTTTTGCCTTACAGTCTCCTTAAGTCGAACGCCGAAATCTAGATCCATCCTCCCATTATCTGACCGGTCGCTTTTGATTTGCCGTGCAATTTTGTAGTTAACGGCGAATGGTAACGAGCCATTGGCTCGTTTTCTTTCGTGTCAGACTCGGAATGTATTTCCGATTCGTTTTCCTCTTTCATGTCCGATATCATTCCCTTTTCACCATTATAGTCGTTCCCTTTTTTATCAGATTGTTCTTTAATATCATCATGTCTCAGTTTTTCTTCTTTCTTCTCCTCTTCTTTTGTCTCATCCGCTGAATTAGTTTCTTCACTGTCTTTTTGCTGCTCCTGCATACTTTCCCTATTACTCGCGTCTGTCTTGTCGACTTTTTTCTTTTGATCAGTTGCTATTACTGGCGCTAACCTGAGCTGCTTGCTGACATCCTCTTTTCCGGGATCTTCAGGTATAGGCGAAGGAGACCTGGCTTCGATCATTTGGGTATCGAGCGTCTTCTCCATCAGCTTGTTCACGCTGCCGCTGCTCGAGAATTTTAGTAAGCTCTTTTTGAATGATGCGGTCATGTGTCGTGGCATTGCGTCCGGTTGCGTGGCGGTTTCTGAGATTATAACTTTGCTACTTCTTCGAGGAGCCTCGACTGTCTCATGGGTTGTTTCCGAAAGTTCTGCATATAAACCATTAAATGTTTAAATAAATTTTTTGATGACTATCAGAAATATCTGGAGGGACTCTGAGACAATTGAAGAAAGACACAATATTATCGACTACTTTTAATAATCCGATATAAATATGTGAACATTTAATATATGTAATAAGTATATATATATATATATATATATATATATATATATNTTATTTTACTATGTCTTCCATATGTATGTAGATGTATAACAAAGTATAGTAAATATTTTTGTCAAACTGCCTTTGTGCATATATCATTTAAACTGATTTGACAAAAAATTATCCAGGTAAAACAGAAAAACATGATGACATTAAAATGATGACAAAATAACGAGAAAATAATCGAATCATGATCAAAAGGCGTGTTACTGTAATAATTCTTTTATTTGACATCTTGATTTTCTGTTCTTCCTGAGTGAGTTTAGAATCGAATTCCTTTGTTCTATAAAATTTACCAGAATCTGACTAAAGTCTGGGCCCCATTGGGCCCAACATGAACCTTGGGCTCAAAAATCTTATTTTCATTCATTTAAGAACAAAACTATTCTAGATATTGACATACGACGAATTATAGAAAATTTTTTCAAAAAAATGATGTGGGTTTCATTGTACTCAAAAGAGGCCGCAGACCCAAATGTTAATTGGCTGTGTCAGATATAACAACGTTTCTTGAACATAAATTCGCGATAAAAAATTTAGGTCCTTGATTTAAATAGTCAATTTGAGCCTTACTAGGCTCAAATTAAGCTTCGGATCCAAAATCTAATTGGCTAATCAAATAACTTTTTCGATAAACAAAAACTTTAGTAATTAATAATTAATATTTTCTTTCAAAATTTATTGCCTTCAAAGCATTTTAGGATCCTGATAATATTTCCGCACCCTTTATATGCAGTAGGCATAAGCGTGATTCTAAAAGTGCTTTAAAAACTTGATGTACAAATAACGGAAATTTTAACGACTTTTCGAATTACGATAATCGTAACAAATTAATGTTTTTAATGGATAACGAGTTATTTTCAAAAATAAAACTTCCCTAAGTCTGATTTTTCATATAAATTCTGTAAGACTGGTGGTTTTTGTTTTTATCTCATCGATAATTCATTCACTACGAACTCACCCTCTTGTTGTTCGTCCACCTTATTCTTGCTCATCATGAACTTGGCGTAAGCAATTCTGGTGGCTGGCGTGAACTCGGAGAGGTACGGATTATAATTTACCAGTCGATTCGGATCCATGGATGCCAAGTCGGAGTTCGGCTGGTGTCGCAGTTGACGACGCAAACTGCGTCGGGACTGGCGTTGCACTGCCTCGTTCGTGCTGCCAATCGGATCTGTTGTGATGGTACTCTGCCTCACCACAGCGTTCCAGTCCTTCTTGCCAGTACCGCTTCCTTTACGCCCGATAGCTCGCGCGATCTGACTAAACACATCTTTCGGCTCCTTCTCGCTCTGGATGACTGCCTGCATGATGCCCTCCACTATGCCGATCTGGAAATCTTTCTGCAGACGACGTTCCATCACTCTGCCCTTTTTGCCAGATACTGGTAAAACAATACGATAATAATAATTCTCAACAAACATAATGGTGATGTTATTAATACGTCTTTAGTACGTCCTTTAACGTTATTAACATGTCATCATGTTTACTTCTACGCATGGACTCAGAAAAAAATTTCTAAAAGATGTCTTAAAAGTGTCCAAAAGACGTCTTATTTTTTAAATGCATTTTTGAAATTTGTGCTATCTGGCGATTTTTTTTGTTATCAATGAAGAGAAATTCCACTATACGAATCAAGTTTCTTTTTGTATACAAACGCATCAATTCTCACTGACGTGTAATAGCGAACATTTGTCATTCTATAATATATTCTCTAATTCTGTGTTCACATAAAAGAACTAAATCTGCTTAATATTATTACATTAAAAAAGGAATATAAAGTGGTCTGTACGTGCAGTTTTCATATAAATAGTAGCAAACGTGTTAAATTCTACTAATTGTATACTAACTATTCGAGTCCTCTTTGTCGAGCATTGGCGTGTGCATTCCGTTCTTCTTGAGAATGTCGATTAGATCGTACCGAAAGGATGAAATGTCCTGGCGAATTTCCCTAACATCGTCTTCGGTAATACCGAATTCGTCCCGTTTCCTTTGTTCAGCTGTTACATAACGACGTATAAGCAGACGCACAACGGTGTCATGCCTGGACAAGGCCTTTTCTCGAGACTTTTTCTGAAAACAGATCGCGTGAAAATATACGAGACTGATATACGAGATATTATATCAATATATAAGACGGTATAATGGTTTTCCAATTTGTATTGCTGAAAGTCGCATACGCTGGGACATGGGCTCAGCACGGTGTATTCATCCGCAAAAATTTGTATTTATTTTTTGCAGTGAAAAATGTAAAAAAAGTATGCAAGATGTTTTGCAAGCATGTATATCGCTAAATCGCCATCTACAATGTGTTTGCAGTAAAATCGTAGGTAGAATCTACTTCTCGATAAAAATGCTAAAAATTACCATATAGAACCACCATAATCTTTCTTTAAATCCAAAGTGTTTGCAGCTTCAAGTTAATTCTATTTACGACTCTCCTGCAACTACATTGTGGACGAGGCATTATAGATAAGTCTGTGCTGAGTTTACTTTCGAGCTCACGTGCCTACTAGCGAAATGAATAAGCAATTCGTAGTATTAACCAGTATGTTGATGCAATACCTATACATAGTGCATAGTGAAAATATCGTCGACCAATCTTCGTTGGCATACTTATTTTTGCTGCTTACTTTATCATATTGGATCTATAAGATCCAGAAAACACGTTTCTGATATATCTTTATTTAAATATCTTTAAATGTATTCCAATTGTATCTCTTCCAATTTGTACCTGAAAGGCACTGTTGTACTTGTATCACATTGGTGGAAGTGTATTGAAGTAGATAGATACTATTTCGATTGACAAGATGTATATAAAGTGTCGAATAAAAATTTAAATTCAAAATTCAAAAATGGTCATTTTATCTGCAACAACCTAATAAAACTACTAAGCAATAATAATTTATCATAGCGTTATTTTTTTCGGACAAGATTTACAAATATGCAAAAATAACTTACAATGAAAGATGTGGTGGAGCGACCGGCACTATCACATTTCAATAACTTCTCAAAAGTTTTGCTGGTCGGTATCATGTTAAACGGCGGCGGTACGGTATCGCCATCTTCGAAGTAGCTCATCCACAAGTGGCTCCTGGCGAATTTCCATTCTGTGTCCGATCGTTCCTGAAAAGGTAAGCGTTATGTTAGTACATTGATTCTAACATAAAAAATATATTTAAAAGTAAAGAGATCTATATATAATAAAGCATATACAACATCCGACAAATAACTTCTCACGTAATATCACCTCACGTAATATAGTGTTAGGATGCTACCAATTTGTAGTATGTTCGTTTAACCGTTCAAATAAAAGGAACGGCAGTGGCAGGAACGAAAAAAGAATTTTTATTATTAGGCGACAAAACTGATATTTTATTCTTTTAACTCCCGCTAGTGGACACGTGCGGCGCAGCACGTACCAGTACAGTTTTCTTAGCCTATCCGACTGCCACACTTTCCAGTCTGACTCGAATCCGAACCGAACAACAGCTCTCTGCATTTTGGCTTTTATAGAGAATCAAAGAAGGCGCTCGAACTGAAAGTCTTGCCACCGTGCGCTTATTTTAAACCTAACTTCGCTGAGAGAGTATCCTCCCGGGGAGTCCGTACTTTGTAACGGGCGCTTGACAGCGGCCACATCACAGGTGAAAATAACTATGGTTAAAATAACTTTGGTTAAAATAACAAAAGAATATTGTTTTGGTACCGAAAACAACTAATAATAATTTTCTCTCAGTATATGAAGTATACGACGTCACATCGCGAAACTCCAAATATCAGTAATATTATTTTCATATGAATCATTTTTGAGAATTTATGTCTACTTACCGAAATGATTTGATAAGAATTAGACATCATAGCGATCAACATATTCAGCAGTACAATAACGTTTATCACAGAATAAGAGCCGAACATGAGTAGCGCCCAGAATCGCGTGAAGCTTTTGATACCCGTCAAATCGAAGGACATTAAATCGATCATGCCGAAACTTGCCCAGAAGAGAGACTGCGACGCCTCAAACAAACTGAAAATATATCAATGAAATGTTAGTTCCTTAGGTGTTGAAGATCGGCTAAAGAACGATCTTTTATTATAAGATATATTATAAAGAACGATAATTTTAGGACGTAATTGTACAATATTTATGACTGTGTTGCCCGGCAATATTTTATAATCTTTTGTTTTTATCGATAACTAAGGAGCGATACCTTGTATCTGTAAAAATAACTATTTTTGAATTTTTATTCAAAGAACTAAGAATTCTTTTCTTGACCTGTTAAGATAGTTTAATTTTTATTTGTAATCTTAATACTGGATTGGTCAAAAAGTCTTTTCTCGTTTTGTTTTTTTTAAAGGAAATTTAAAAACATATTTTATATGCAAACTCAAAACATAAATATTGTAATACTTCATATACCAAAATTTGTGTGAACGACTTTCAACACTGAATTTCAATATATTAAGTATTTTTTCAATTTTCCGACTCGTTTGATGTGGATTATTTTACACTAATGCCTTTATTTTATTCTTATTAATATTAATCGATTTTCCCGAACGTGGAACGTCTTCGACAGAGAAATTTTCTATATGAAAATTCACAAACCAAAATTAGCTATTTTTACAATTTCTGCAACATAGGAATCGATATTAAAAAAATATATAAAAGTAAAAATAATAACTTTCCTCCAAAATTATTAAAAATTTATGTCGATTGGCCAATTAACGATCGAGAATTAATCATCGAGAAAAAGATATATTTATCCGATCGGTTGATAAAATGTTAAAAAACTAAAGAATACAGAAGAAATTCGGTTCTTCAGAACGAGATGAATTTTCAAATCAGTTTTTAGTTTTTCCTGAAATCTTCTTATTTCAAACGTACTAAATGTCATTTCTTAATCATCGGCGTATTACTTGTTATTACAATTCAAAGGAAAGTGACTTAAAATTATCCCAAATAGTTCATATTAAATATCTTTGCTTTACAAGTGATAATTGATTGTACTCAATTGTCGTACTTGGCAAATCTCCTCCATATCGAGCAAGCTTTTTCCTGATTATCGAAATCCGGCAATTCGTCGGACATATGATAGCACTTCATTTTCTCCAAATCCGCATAGTACCACATCAGCTGATTCATACCTGAAACACAACGCGAGCTCAACAGACACGTTATTCCGTGTTTAACAAAAGCAAAAAAAGAAACAGAAAACGGTGAGAAAACTACCTCTAAATATCAAATCAGGACGCCAAGTAAATACGCAGGACGAATTGCATGAAATAACGGAGTTCCATATAAATAAATAATCATAGGCGGCGTTACTCACCACAACCAAAAGCAAACAACACGAGGGTGTAGATGAAAAAAAATTTGATTATGTCTATTATCATTCTCCCGAGGGAAATCTGAAGTGGTCCGAGATGAGGATTCACGCTGAATATGTGAACGAGCTTTAAAAAGCTGAAAGAAACCACCCACATGTGTACAATACTCTTTGAATACTCGTCGGTGAGAAGGAAGCATCCTGAAAGAGGCTGGATGAAGAGGATAACTAATTGACACGTAATCGAGTGCCTGAATTAAACGCTTATAACTGCGCCTGAATATATTCTCTAGCAAAAACAAATTTTCTTCATATAGATTTTTCATTTTTCAAGTAAATCCCTAAGAATTACCTGAAGATCATCCCGGCCGCAAATGCTCCTTCCGAAAGTAGCATTGGATCAAATGCATGCCACTGATCCCGTGGATACCACGGATCTAATCCATTCCAATACTCTCTCTATTATTTAAGACAAATGGATTAATCATATGTGTGAAAAAAGTACTAATATAATCTAGAACATCATTAAAGAGCGTATCTCATGAAGTGATACAGTTAACGGAAAAGTAATTTTTCATAAGAAAAAGAAAACAAAGTAAACATGTATAGCACAGAAAATCTGTAAATACATTGCTTAGATATTACACAATAACATTGTAATATTTCATATATGTTATGTTACTGTATAACTTTGTGCAAACTATGTTACTGCAACGCTGCCGTAAGGTTGTAACAACATTAAATGTCTGCCTTTAGAAATATTGCAATAAAAGATTATAGTAATATTATGGTAAAATGAAATAGTGCAATATACATGCTGCTGTCATCTATAGGATGTTTCATATTTTAATGGATAAATATTACCAGCACATATAGACATATAAAATAAAAGGATACATAAAATTGCAAGTTTTTAATTACTTGGTATCCAAAATGTAGTTAAATAATATATAATAACTTAACATCTGCTTTATGTGGGTACGAAGCAATTATGAATTTATATTTATTCTAACTTTACTTTTTCATCTTTAAACTTGTTTATCTTCGTAGAGTTTATGTGTTAAAATCAGAGCATTCTGCGAATTAAGAATTTATTGTTACAGTTTTTTGTACTTATATATACGAATAAAAACAAATGGATAAAAATGACATCAATTGTTAACATTATATATTCACCTATATAGCACCGATTGTTACAGAAGCTTTAAAAAATATTTCAAAACCACTTCAACCTTTCACATTTTATGTCTTTACACACGCGCGCGCGCGCAAGCTATGTCTCTATAATATTATATTACATTTTGCAATGTTGCAACGGTCGTGCAATGTAATTGCAACTTTGTGCTATATAGCAAAAGTGTTCTCGATTAGGCAGTTAAAAAAAAATTTTTCAATTTCACTTTATATTTCAGTATAATTCTAATTTAAATTCAATTTTATTAATCTATTTCGGTTAATTCATTTCGTAATGTTTGCCGTTGTATCGCGTTCCACTCGATTATCTTGAATGATGTTGTTCACTTTTTTGTCTATATTAATTATTTGGCTTGAATGAGTTCTTCATGAGATTACAATCACAAAGTTTTTGTATATCTCGTGAGATGGGGATGAAACTTACCTGCACTATCCACCAGGCTGTAACTCGCAAACTTAACCAGACTACGTAAAAGGTATTTTGAATGAAGTCTACGATATTCCAAAGATCCGATATATACTCCATTAGTCCGTCTGCCCATAACGATTTAATTTCGCCGATGATCAAACCTACGAAATACGACTGCATGAAAAATTCTCTACATGCCCAAATCACTGGTAAAATAAATAATAACAAAAAATAATTGTTCATACATTAATTATAATTTTTTATGAATAATAATTTTCTGAATAAATATTTTTCATAATTTTTTATACAAGACAGTATCCAAGTACCAGACAGCCGTTATAATTACGTGATATTTACATCGAATCTTATACTACTTTATCTTAATTATAACGGTAATGGCATTACAAGTGCCATATTACTTCCTAATTCTGTTTCTGTCGTAACAGGTCAGTTTACCATCGAAGAAATTAGAAAATAAAACCGAATTTTTTGCGGGACTAACCTAATATTTTTATAAATTACGCTAATTACTATTAATATTACAATTTGTGTATTACTTATCACGTAAATGACCACGCCTGTCTCAACGAAACCCGGTACGCAACCGCGTTCTCGTTTCTTCCAACCAGCGAGAATCTCCCGCATCCATTTGTTGCCAAATACTTCGATCAACAGATATTCGATTCTTTGCGATGCCATGCCGAGAAGCACTACAAAATCGAACACTTAGTCAAGGCCTTGCTTTATTACACTTGCATGTGATTCGCAATTGAGAGATAATTCTACGAATAATTTGACAGGTCATTTCTAATATAGAAATTGCAGAACAAGTGATTATATCGTGATCAAACTTACTGAGGAAGACAGCATACGATGCGGAGTGACATATGAACTTTACGAATGGCTTTTTCATGAATAATCCCATCTGCGAGGTAGGTGACATCATATAGATCGTGCTATAGACCGGAAACATTGCTCCAAGTTTACCGACTTCCAACAATTGGGCCAAAATACTTTTCCTTCGGAATCCCGGAAGACCATCGTACCAAATAGCGGCCAATAATTGTTGCACGTTCGGATGAGAGACGAACTATCGCAGAATAAGATCAGCCATAAATTTTTTGGTTTACATATCTAAACAAATAATTATATATGAATTTTTTTTCAATGTGGTCATACATAATTGCACGAAATTATTAGGTTGGTGCAAATGAAATGGTTTTCAGTGTTTTGAATTTCCCACCCCTATAGATTACTTTTCTTTCATATAGAGGACGGTGTATACCAGGTGTAGAAGTATGAAACCTGAACTTCCCTCCCAAAATATTGACTTTTCCTTCTGGGATACCTTGTATGTTGTTAGATATCGTTATAAGAATATCCCATTAATGAACTTTTCTCACTGTATTAATATCAAGTTGTTCCTAACTCTGGTAAAAATAATTAAAACATGCATGAAACGTTGGAAATAATTCCAGAAACGTGGCTTCAACCTGAAAACTTGACAAATATTATTCCACATTGCGATAGCTTCAAATATCAATTTGTTGTCAGTTCTATTGTATTTCGCACAGCTTGTTAAAAATTAAGTATACCAGTAGAAAACGATTCTCCGCCGTCATAAAAAGTGCATTCAAGCCTACGTACTTGCTTCTGTTTATATTTAATAGCCAGTTTGAGTCGGTCCAAGGTCTGTCTCTCTCCAGGATCCCAATTCTCTCCAGTGGGATTGTAGTTCAGCATTATTTCCAATTCATAAGACGTACGCGCGTGGTCCAGCAAGGAGGTCGCAAATTGTTGCGTCTGTTCCCGCATCTCCTAACGATTGACAGAGAATCGCTTTTAGAGATGAGGATAAATAAGCATTTTAGTGCTTAAATATGCAGCTCAGATAGGACGAAAAATCACGATAACGTCATAGAAAACGACTATAAAAATACGCCTTTTCATCATTTTCTTATCATTTTCATGTCATCGTCATTTTCTATTTTATCCGGGAGGTGATAGAAGCGCCATCGTTTGTCGAATTGATTCTCAAACTTGCGCCTATGAAGAAACAATCTATACGTGGCGCGAAATATCAAAATATTTGGACGACTATAAATTTCAGTTACCGACAATTTGAAGGGACCCGAATGATTCGAGGAAGAAGAGGAAGAAGAGAAAGGTAATGAGGATTATTAATTTAAATACATTATATTGGGCACGAAATTCTTGTTCCATTCTGCTGAGACGACGTAATTCCCACGAAAGCTCGAAGGCTGTCAAAAGTGGGTCTCTCGATGAAAGCGCAATTAGAGATGACGAGGTGAGCGCACGATACGCATTTATTCGAGATTGCGAGTGTCGGAGGGAGTCCTGTTCGCTGGAAGTGACGCATTCGTCACAGCCACATCTGCAATAATATGAGGCTACATTCTTTTCTCTTTATATGAGCTCGTTTCATCGGCGGAAGTAAGGAAATTTTGAATCAGTACAAATATCAAATTATTTAAAATGTCAAGTTATGTGATACAAAATGTTTTACTAATTTCATATTAAAAATTACTATGGAAGTTTGTAAATGTGAAACATATTGGTATATTCTCTGCTTTAATTTATTATCCTTCCATTTCATATTTACTATTTATATTTCAGAAATTAAAATTTAATAAATAAATATATTATTAATAAAATTATTAAGTGTTCTTTAGCAAAATAATTTTAACTGACAGTATATTCCTGCATTATTATCAAATATGACAAAATTGAATTATTCGACTTCAACGAATATATATAGCGTATATAATGTATTTATGAGATAAAATGATTATGATAAAATTATTATTAGATAAAATTAATTACATAAAATTATTATGTTTTGATACGATAAAATTATTACCTCGTAACATTTTACCCTTTTCCTTTCAGATAAATACCTGGCATCGTGTGGCGTCGGTAGAGTCGCACCGCGATCCAAAAGCAATTTCAGTATCTCGTAGTTGTTTTTATGAGCCGCTAAGATCAATGGAGTTATATCGGGTGTGAAATTCGACGATGAATCCACGGCTTCCCAACTCTGGTAAGATTTTCAAATGCCATTGCGATAATTTAATCTTCTTTGCTCACGAAACGAAAAAAAAAGAAATAAATACTGTTTAGCATATTTAAAACGCAAATGGTTCGTCTCATAAATATTTCCTAAATTTTACGAGTGAAATTTCACTTGAAAGATAGAATAGCTGAATCATTTGAATTCGAGCGATTTTTTCCACTCTAAATCATCGAGTAAATATTTTCGCTTAGACTGAAGAGTAAATTCAACGTATTTTATTGAACAAATTCGCCCTAATCGATTGAAACAATAACTACGTTCAGGAAAGAAAAAAGCTCAATGAGCGCTTAATGATTTTCGTGACTAGAGAATTTTTTTAGATTCTCGATAAATCCAGAGGAATGTATATACTAATCAGGAGAAATAATCATTAAACGTTCATTAAATTATTTCTTTTCTGGACGCAAGCATTCACTAGTACGCAATTAGAATTCATTCTAAACTTGAGCGAAATATTTACTCTTGTGGTTTCGAGTAACAATATTTTTACTATTGTTTCGAATGAAAATTTAGCCAGCTTTCATTTATTTCGAATAAGATTCCACTCTAAAAAATTTGTAGGTTAAGATCGCGTTCTTTCTATCGAATCAGACACACATCCCGAGTCGAACTTTTGATGCTAATTTGGTATTCTTAAAGAAAGCGTGCATCTGCTTAGATGACCTAAGACTAGTTAAAACCTACTTTGGCGATACTATACTTATTAACTTCTCTCTTTAACCTTTAATTCTACAGACTTAATTTTAATACTACTGTGAAATAATTTATTTTGATGCTAAAAAGCGAAGGCGGAAATTTAAAACATCACAAAAAATAGGATAATTATATAATTATAATTAAAACTGAATATATTTTACTATCTTAAGTCTCACTGTGTTGTAAAATTAAAGATTTAACATAGAAATTCACGATATCATGTTTTTCGAAGTTGATTGAGAAAGATATATATAGTCGCATAAAAGCCAATATCGAACTTACGTAGGGTTGTCCCGGCTTATGTATTTTTTCCTCCCACTCCAACAAGATCTCCACTGCCTCCACGTACTCTTCTTTAATGGCGTGCAGGAGTGCATCCTATAAGACGTACGAATTATGGTTTCGGAGGATCTCAAAGCTCTTAGATGTTAGCGACGTACAACTAATGCAACTCTGCGTAATGCAGGTAGTTTATAACAATATTGTGCTCGTTGAATAGACCACAGTATGTTCTATACATGGTGACTCGAAAGACCAGGGTGCGTGCGGGCGAGCGCGCGGAACTCTCATTAGCAGTATCCCAGTAAACATCGATCACAGTATATCAAACGATAACACGCATTATATACTCTCGTGCAATAATTAAAGAAACAAACGGCTGTCCGCGTAATTTTCATTAGAAACGCTACGCTATCTCGATTCGACGATATTTACTTACTTTTACTTCGATTCCTAATTCCAGCAGTAACTTTATTAGTTCAACATTTTCGTTCTCGATCGCGGCTATGAGCGCCGATCGATTCAGCGGATCGACACAATTGATGTTCAGTATTTCAGGGTGGTCTTGGTTCTCCTCGATCAATCTACAAAAATGGTGAAAAATAGAATCTGAACATCTTGGAGATCTTATTAATTGATCTAGTATCTTATTTGGTAAAAAATGACAAAACTGGGGATACTGAAGTGAAAAAGCTCTGTTTCAAATTAAATGTTATTCTAAAATGTGAGATTAATAATAAAAAATAAAGGAAAAAATTAATTTTTAAAAAATTATCAGGATCACATTTTTAAAAAATTGTCAGGATCACTTTATGACTTCTTTAGCCAGTTAATGGCCTCTTTTCTTCTAATGCATCGCTTAAATTGGTCAATGGTTGTTGGTAGCGGTCTGCCGTGATCGTTTCACCTGGTTGTAACAACTCGTAATACAACACAACTTTCCAATCCCACCAGATGCAGGACAAAAACTTCTTTTTTCCTCAAATGAAACGCGAAGTGGAAACGAAAAATCGAATATGCTCTTTTTCTATTGTCATCGTGAACACTATTGATTTTTGAGGTTATGTGCATCAAACGCCAAACCGCATGGCATTTTAGAAGGGCAAATGTCAACGCTTTAAAACCGCAAAAGGAAAGATAAATAAAATTAAAATTGTTTCGGTTGTATGAAATATAAAGCTCAGAATTTTTTTGCTTACTTAATAAATCGCTTAAACCAAAATGCGCACACATCGTACGATACAACACCTTTGCTGAGAAAAGAACAAATCCATTTGCATACTCCTGCAGCATTTTTCCCTTGTTGGAATTCATGAAGAATACAGTGTCAGATATGCACTTTATCTGTTGCCATGTTTGATTCCACTAAACTGAATACTTTTGAAGGTTATGTTGGGCTTTTCACCATACTAAATGTCATTTTTAATAGTTATATATCAACACTATATAACCGCAAATGAGCGGAAAAATCAATTGATTTTAAAATTAATTTCTTAACTGCATAAAAACATTTGGATTATTTATTTGTGCACTTAATAAACAAGAAACTTGCGATTCAGTCTGCGACATGTAGCGGACAGAACGCGCGGAGTTCATTCTAAGCCCAATTTATTTTATGTTTCTACCAGAATACCTTCACTAGAGGCATTAACACGCAGAGCGATGCTCAGGATTACCTTTTGACAGTGGCACAATCGCCTCGTTCCGCGCTGAGTAGGAAATGCTTCTCAACCGGGCCGAGAATATAGTCAATAGGTGCCTGTAATGATTGCACCGACGACGTACTCGCCTCATTCGCGAATAGATTCTGCTGCGATTCCGACGGATTCATTTCACCTTCGACGTGTCACCTCTCGAACGTATTTTCGTAACGCTGAACTAAGTGCCCGAAATATCTAAAATTAGGAGATATTCTCTTAAGTTATTTAATTTGCATTTCCACTTGTGAAACTAAAATGGGAAACGTGTTTGAAAATCGCTAGGCTTTGACATATCCTGTGATCATCTCTTAAGTTATTTAATTTGCATTTCCACTTGTGAAACTAAAATGGGAAACGTGTTCGAAAATCGCTAGGCTTTGACATATCCTGTGATCAAAACAGAATCGATTCCACCCACATGAAAACGTTAGGGTGCCTTGAGACAAATCAACAGCAAATCAACGGCAAATTTGGTTGAATGAATAATCGTAAAATTAATTCGTTATAAGAATAGGCAGTAAAAATGGATGAACAAATTTCACGAAGAACAAAGTATGATTGAATTAACTTGACGATGAGCGAACTAAACGTGTTTTGGTTAAAGAGAACGGAATATCTGGTTTACCTGAACAAAAATTTAGTTTTTATAGAAGAAATTAGATTTCCTTCAACCTTTATTCTGCGTGCATTTTGAGTGTATTTCATTTCAATAGGATTTTAATTGAAGACTTGATTATGAAGATGTATAATGTTGGAAATTGGAAAGTTGCGATGTAATCAGTTATATATTTTCCATTACCAGTTATATATATTCTTATTAAAAAAAAATTGTCTTTTAGTAAATGAAAGAAACTATAATCGAGGAAACATTCAATGATTTTAGGACAATCTATATAATCCCAATTCCAAGGTAACATCGAAATTAATTAAATTTCTGGATTTTGCGCGTCATATACATGTCATTTTACGTGTCAATTATTATAATTATTATATAATATGATTATCTTGTTAATAGAAATTTACAATGTGCGCTATTGAAAGTTTATTCTATTACGAGTATGTTATGTAGGTACAGAGTTCAATGAAAATGTGTAATGCGCCGATCCAGATTTAACTAGTTATCCTTTTATATCGATTTTTTTGGAAAACAGAAGGAGATTTATTTTATATGAAATCTTAGTTGATCAAAAATTTCAAAACGAAAGCAGGGCACAACGTTACATGAGTAAGGCTTCCTATGCTTAACATATGCAGCATAAAGTATTCAAATAAACCAGGGTAATATTTTTCACGTTTCGCAATTACGCGCTAGTCTTAAACCTGAAGAATCAAATTTTTTATTTTTCACAGTTGTTCAATAAAATCATCAATCTCCCGCTGTAACGTAATGTCCATTTCGAAAGCATAAACTATGAAAAATCTCAATGTTGAATGACAATATTCGAATCGGACCTTTGATATCGGTTTTTATATAAAAAAGAAAAGAAAAAGATATTTTGAAATTTCAATGGATTCACTTTGATTCAGTTTCAATGAGTCGATATAACAGCTGTCTATCAATCCAATTATATTGAGTCTTAGTTACATAACTTGCTCTCGTGTTACATAACTGAAGACCGAAGTACTGTAAATAATTTATACGACGTACAAATTTTATCTCAAACCGAGGTGATTCCAAATTGGAGGAGAACAAAAATTGAATTGCTCAATTGCATTAGAACCGACCTTTCGTTAACTCGCGGCACGTTATTATTGGATTTTACCTCACACACTAAGAGAAAAAATCTAAAAATGTAAAAAAAAATATTCATTTGGTGGATACTAATAATAATTTGTTAACTTTATTTTTATCCTCGGGCGTGAGCGTGCGTAAGCATAATATTTAAATGAAAACACGCGTTTAAGAAACCTTAACGTTCAATAAAAGTTATTTGTAACGCTTCTGAAATAATCTATAGAATCTTTTAATTTCCCACTCGGACATATAACAATATATTTTACATTGAGAAAAAATTGTTTTAAATGAAAAATATAGATTTTTTTTAATTTGCAGCTTTCCGTAAAAGCAATTATTCTATAAATATTCCATTTAAAAATAAAATAATTTAGAGATTTAAATAAATATTTTATCATAGTGTCTATTGAATAAATATTAGATACCGGAAAAAGTTCATACGAATTCTTAGGTCAAAATTGAAACACTCAGTGAGTACAACTGTAGATTCGTCACATTAAAATACTTGTGCAACGTCTGCATACTTTTTTTGTGGGTTTAAACATATATATCCACGTAGTACATTATTTTCAATAACAGATGGTTTCTTCAATAACAGTCCCAAATACGGCTCATTCTTTACGATTCATTACCTTCCTTAAAACACTTAAACCACTTTTATGTTGTCCTTTCGTTAACAGTCACCACATATGTTACAAATACGTTTTGCTACATTTGCTGTTGTATTTCCAAATTTAAATTCATAAAGCAAGAAAACACGAATTATTCATTTTTTGCCATCCATCTTTAACCTGACGTAAACAACGGAATGTTGAAATAATTGAAAGCTGCATATCATATATATTATCGACATAAATATAACTTTCTGTTGATACCAATTTCATGCATTACACGTGCGAATTACTGACTGAAATCCAACTTTAATTTATTGCTAAGAAGGAAACCGTATGAACTTTTCCCAATTATTATTTCTTTATTCTTTAGATTTTTTTTCTCTCAATGTGTACTTATGCCGTATCCATATGAATAAATGTGTGTGGAATATTTTGTAACGAAAAATATGCTGCTTCTATTAATCAAAACATGTTTGGTTGTTTATTGTCAGGTAGATCCAACCAAACTTATTTTTCAGTGTATCTTAGCTCTTATATTATGTTGTACAATTAGAGGTTTAATAAAAAACCAAAATTTCGACTAGTGTTGTCTTTTGATTTTCAATTTCACCATGTTCTTCGCAGAATCGTTAATTGATTGCTGAAAATTACTATTTTCGCGTCTCCAGAGTGTCTGACAGAAAAGTCACGATGCGAGTCACGATTTTTTTTGCTTTCCAATCGAAAGAAGGGAGAAAAACGTCCTCGCGATCTCCCGTCCGTCCGCGTTTCCCTCGTTCACGAAGAGTGAGGGCTAATCTCGTGTGTGGAAAATGTACTTACTTTGTAAAGGAACATAAGGTACACGCTCTTCCACGTTGACGCTGGCGTGCACACGTGAGTAATGCCGGACGCGGACTGTACCATAGCCACATCTACGCGCGTGACACGGCGAAACCTTACGACGCCGTCAAGCAGGTTGATCTTCAGGGCGCGGATTAAGTACGGACAAGGTATACGTACCGAAAAGAAAAGAACTACCTTGCTAGGCATGGTATGGGTGCGCTACATTGTGTCTGGCATCACATTGTGCGACATCGGCATTATCACGTGGACACCGTTGGCCCAGGAAGGGAAGTGAGAGAGAATCTCCCTCTTTCTCTTTCTTCTAACCCTCGGATTAATGGTTTGCGAGTTTCGTGACGACGTATAGCAGCCAAATCCGAAGCTCGTATGCCAGCGACGCGCTCCGGCACATTCTTCTTCATTTCCTGTAGCGAATTCATCCTTCTCCGCCACACGGCGTCGCAATTATTTATCTTCCCCGGCGACGTGCATTTCCGTTTTTAGTGTGACGCGATATCCGTAACAATTTGGAAAATATTACGCCGAATGTACTCGAAGGCTGTTGATGTATGACGCTGACTACGGATACGGACCAGGTACGGAGCGTAAGTACGGACCGATATTGGCAACGATACAAGCGAGAATATGTTGATATGTCGCGTATATTGATATTGTATATCGAAAAATATATTCGACATGAAAGAATGCCGGATGCTCACGAGTTTAAATAATCGCTGTCGAAATGGTAGATAAACAGGCAAATAAATAAATTCTTTTATCTACATATGATATACTTAAATCCCAGATAGATGAAAAAATATTGATTACGTATAACGGATAATAAAATATTAATGGAGAAAATGATAATTATACATAAAGCGAGAATATACTCGGGAAAAAAGTAATGACGAGCCGTTCGCTTTGACGTTCACTCGACGGGATAATCGAAATAATTGCGTAAATAATCGGCAAACTAATTATAAATAATTTCCCACGAGCGAATTGGACAAGTGGGACACGCGGTAAGAGATGAGTCTAAAATTGATGGGGGTGTATAATCGATTCGGTCATGCCTTTCATAAAACAAACGGTGAAACAACGACGAATAGGGGATATCGATGTGGGATATAGTTACGGCACATAGAAACTAGCGTGCTACATCCGGCCACTTTGTTTTTCTTTAATTATAGTTACGTATTAAATTTACATACATTTCTTAAGAACGGTTTAGGGGATTATATCGGGAACAACATATACATGTTTCGTGTGTCGTCGTGATGAATAGTGTATATAATATATATCTTAGGCTCAGACTAGATCGAGGTAACAATTGGTCTCGCCGTTTTATGTAATGCGCGAGATTTTAGCTAACTTTCAACAAACTCTAATTAAACTGATAGATGAATTTTGTAAGTCAATACATATAGATCAATGAATAATAAGAATTGCAAATATCAATTTCAAGTTTGTAATTTGTCGTTCGACAATAATGAAAAAGTTCATAATTTCTACCAGTGTTAGCAGGATAAAGCAAATAATATTTAAATGACAACAATTTTAAATTGTTGATTAGATTAATCAAAGTTTGACGAAAGTTACACTTACGAGGAATTCGATCGGATGCGTTAGCGCAACGCACCGTTGCGCTCTAATGAATCATTTGTTTAAGTTCGATTCATACTATCGGTCAGGTCACGGTTAAATCACGATCTGATCAAAATTTGTTTCTATTAAATTCACTTCTTTATTGAGTTAGCACTCATACTGTCACTCACGGTCAAAACAAACAACGGTTACTTGACCGTGATTATTTTTTGGAAGAAATCTGGAGAAATCGCAGCGGTCCTGTAGTGACCGTTAAATAAGATTGCGAAACGATCGCAAAAGACGACCGCAGTAGACGGTTGATAGACGGCCGTCAACTATAAGGCGAATTGTAGATTGATTTAGTTATTATTATCTTACCCAAAGTTAGGAAAATTTCTTTCAAAGAATAACTCGTTGCTTGTTCATTTAAAAAAGTAACTCATGCAGCATAGATGTCGTAAAGACGTCCTGAAAATGTCCCTACGTTCAAGAGACGTTTGCAAAACGTCTCTAGGATAAAATATACTATATGGGTCGAGTTATAATTTCCGTCGCTGTTTTCATCAAATTCTAGAAAACTTTTTTAGAATTTCTTGCTGCCCATTTCACATACATGTATTTTACGTGAGCAAAATAAGAATAAAAGTAATCAATATATTTGTTATCATATTATCCAGAAAATATAATATATAATATAATATACTGTATATGTTACCGTTACTAGTGAAAAAAAACTTAATGTTGTTAATGAAAAAGTAATTTGAAAGTGTTACAAGTAACGCCTTACTTCTCATCCCTGCTTTTATCGTCATTACTATTAACATTTTATTATTTGGATAATTTAGTAAGTCAGATGTGAAACACATAAATTCAATTGTTTTCGTAAGATAGATTCGATAGATTTAGCCTGCGACAATACGTACTAGTGCATCCAATCAAATTCACTAATAGACATGGAAGAGCTGAAGAGTTGATACATAGAAAGTGAGGAAGCAGAGAAACAGAGACAGAAAGAAAGAGAATGCATATGATTACCACACGGATCTGCGACTATATCGATAGTATCTCAAAACTGTCAGATCGTAAAATTTATATGTACACCGAACACGTAGTGAGGCAGGTGGATGTACAACGCGGAATACCCGATATCACACGCGCATCTCGACATTCGCTGCCGGCTTGCGGATGCGCTACAATTCCTGCTTTTCTTCATTTTGCTCTCTGTGTATGTTTTTTGTTCCACTTTCTTCGATGTAGAACAAACATGCACGTGGACGCCTGTGAATAAGAGATTTTTGCGATTCCCGAGGGCTTGACTGCAGACTTAGCCGACTATGGAGATTATAGCATTGAGTGAGAATAACATTTGTCGCCAGAGCGAAAACAATCAGCTTTTGTTTGTTTTCCGAATCAAAAAAGCTCGAGTCCGTTCAAGTACGAGCTGTTCGAATTTCTCGACCGCCACGGAAATCACGAGCGCTAATTGAGATGTTACAGCAATAAAAGCAAGCGAGATTTCAAACGAATAATCAATTACGACTTTGCAACGTTGTCATGGGAATGTTATTATGGATATATTTAATTGGAACCGTTTGTTGTGTGTGTAGTGCATTTTTTATTTCGCTTGCCGATAATTTTATTAATTGAAACCTTTTTGAGTGTTCACTTGGTTAAGCAAAGCGAGTGATGCAAAGTACAGAATCCGTAATCGAATACCGACAGTATTCATCAACGTATTAAAAATAAAAAGAAAACACAATATCTAACACGAATCGATCGATTTCATTTTCGTTCCTCGGAAAAGGTGCAACAGCTCCAGAAAAGAACTTGCGTCCCACGGAAAAATTAGAAAGGGAGATACGTAGATTGGAGAAATTCGAAAATGTATTCGCAGAATTCGGAAATCGATAAACCTCGCTTTTGCATTAAATCGATGAAGAAAAAAGAAGCAGAAAGCAACTTTCTGTGAATAAATGCCCCTTCTTTGTATAACTTTGTCATGACAAATTCTCGCCGAAATTCGTTGCAGCTTAATAAATTATCGATTTAAGCTCACTTAATAAGTCTACAAGGTCGCTTAAGTATAGGCGCGCTGACAACAACGCGATTCTAGTCGTCGTATTTCGAAGCCAGATGCAGTTTGATCGTAGTTCAATCGGCTCGTTAATTGGACCGCAGTGCCGTCGATGACGATTTCCATTGATATTTGTTGTCGAAACCTCGGTGAGTCTGCGACTTCGAAGCTCGGACAGGCGCAAGTGACAGCACAGCAGCATCGGACATTTACTCATGACGATTCGAATTAATCCGGTCCTCGAAGGAGTCCAGATTAATTTCGCCAGTGATCTTGTTCAAACTGTTACAAAGACGAAGTAACCTCAACACATCCGAGTGGAGTTCCGCATCGCTGATCATGCTGCTCGACATCAGCACTGAACAAACCGCAGATAGATCGAGATCGGCTGGCACAACTGGTATGTGCGCGTTACGACCAAACCTGTTTCAAATTTCAAAATACCAAAAATGATTCACTTATCTTGCCTGACAAAAAAAATGAGAGAGAAAGGGAAAAAGTAAAAGTGACCGTAAAGGCTAGATAAAACGGAACGTAAAAGATAGATAAAACGGAAATTAACACTTTTACTAGAAAATTGAGGAACTATTTGTAAATTAAAAATCTCAAAAAACTAATTTACTGACAAATCTAATTAGACCGCTGATGACAGTACTCTCTAAATTTCTTGAAATGAAATTTCGCTCACAAAATAGAATGTGGTTGAGTTACTTAGATTCGAATGACTTTTCACTAGAATAGAGTAAATTCTCTACTCTGAAACGTCGATTGAATATTTCCACTCAAAACTAAAAAATTTAATGTACGAAATGTTGCACTTATATACAAAACATTATGCTGGGTTGCGGCTACAAGGGCACACGTGAGAGAGTGAAAGTACGCGTGACTGGCGCGCCGTGTAAATATGTTGTATACAAATGAAAAATGACAGAAATACGCGGCGAATGTAACAGAAAAGTATTTTTATACGACAGATATATCCATCGTACGCTATTAAAAAATTGAAGAATGCAAATATGAACATCTTAAAATTTTTAAATTTTAGATATAAACAGAGAAGCATTAGTAAGTTTGATATATATCAAAAATCTCGTTTGCACGGATATTTGGAGGAAATGGATTTGTAGCAGTCACATATTACTTGGAAAAAACGAAGCGAATAAGAAAAAAGATAGTTCAAAAGATTAACCTCTGTAATTAGTTTAAATAAGAATACTCCTCTCATAATTTATAGCTTCTCGTTATAAACTAACATATAAAAAAAAAGTTTTACTTAGTTAATATACTAAAATTATATAACAAAATATTATAACTTATAGATACATCATGTGTGTTCTTATTCGCGGTCGTTAAAGAAAATGATGCCTAAATCATATGATTCAAATAGACAATCAAACTAATATTTTCATACAAAATTACTCTTTTCTTATTCTATATTTATATCTAGAGTCATTTCGAAAAGTCTTTCAGTCGTTACGTTATCGTCACAAAGAATTATTGACCTTACAACTTTCAAATTCAATCTCGTCTAACGCAAAGCTTTCCGTGCAAAGATAATTTTATCCGATATTTCTTCCGACTTCTCTCGTATAGAAGCGGTCCCTTCCCGTCAGGAGTACCAATAATGGGACATGCTTTATATTTGTACGTATCTTCATTTTTGGTATATCATTCAAGTAAGTAAGAGTACATCTACTCAACAAATGTGTCGTTACGTAATTCAGAGGAAAACGAAATAATGCATTAAATTGGAAATGCTATAATCTAAACAAATGATCATGTCTCGTGGCGTAAGAGACAAAGCAAAAATGGGCTGAGATAAGTCTTTGGTACATCAGTGCTTATAGTATAGCTTCACCGGCCATTTCCCTTCTTGAAAGTCTCATCTGATTGTGAGACATGATACTTAAGTGTCGCGCTCGAGAGCTTCTATATTCGTACGTGCGTTGTACGCGAGCGCTCACATGCGTTAGTTTTCTTTTTCCGCATGTCTTTTCTTCTTGACAATTTTACGACGAATAATAAATCACAATTTCGCGGCCACTCGGAATACTTTCATACGCGCGCTCACCTGCGTATACCTATGTTCTTGTTTACCATATACGTCGCGAATATTGCATACGAGCTCATCGCGGTAGATACCTGCTATTTTTTGTGAAAAGCTACCCGTCGATATTGCAGCGATATTCCTGACGCGGAGATCTGACATCATTGCCTAAACCGTTCGAACGCTATAATTTTGAGCGACTTTATAAGGAACCGAACATTATAAAAATTCAAACCATTAAAATTAGGTTAAGATAGGTGGGGCATGTTATAAGGATGAAGGCTGAAGACTCATCACGAAAGTCAATGTTCAAGAAACCAATAGAACAAAGGCAACGCGGAAGATCCAAAAAGCGTTTCTTGGACGCGGTGGAAGCAGACATGTAGATATTAGGAATAAGAACATTGGAGGGAGAAGGCTCGTGTTAGATAGGAAAGGCTGGAAAGATCTCTTAGATAAAGCCAAGAATCTTCAAGGGCTATAAAGCTATAAAGAAGAAGAAGACCTCTGCTAATTAAATCTTTTTTTCGCGGAATGCTCCGTCTAAATATTTATATATCGATGTTACGCCCCGACGTTATCAGAATTCGAGTTGCATCGACGAATAAGTTACCTAATGAAATTTGCGTCGTTCCTCCCACGCTTGAAACTGGACCGGCCGAACCTGATAATGACGTCCGACGGTTTCCATCGTGGATGCCTGCTGACCTTTGAATCGGCCTCACCGTCCGATACGAAATTCTCGTACGCAGCTTGACCACGTCCGAACCTGATGAAGCCGGAGGAACTGCTACGTCTTTCTTTGGAGTCGGTGTCCTTACCGTTGACGCTACTCTCCTCGACGCCGTGTCTCTTCAACACGTATTCGAACTCGTTCGGCGGGTCCTTGAAGATCTGAAGACTACTGTCGTCTTTGAGTGGTGTCAAGATCGACGAGGACACGAGCGCCCAATTGCAAAAGAATGCCATCATTTGAAGGGTCCAGAGTGTGATCTACGCATGGTTGCAGGGAAGTAACGCGTTACTTGTGAGGCCATTACCATTATGAGTTACATTTTTCAGTAATGATTTAGTAATAACGTTATATTTTTCATTAGTAACCCAGAAAACACCAATAACATAACTGTTAATTATAATTTCTCTGTTACTTAGTGTTTTTGCTGGAAACGATTAATGGTAATTATTCTTCTTAAGTCCTGTGCCTCTTTTGCAGAAGCGTGGTGACCTCTCTCATATACCTGTGGTGCGCACGCTGATTATACACAGGCATATGGGCCCTACAGTTTAACGCCGGTTCCGAACGGCAAATTTTTAGAGAGGCGTTCAAATGACAAAAGATAACTCTCTCTCGATAGGTTGCCACTTCTTTTCGAGAGGAGACACGAGCGAAAATATTTTTGGTTTTTATCGGGATCGAACCTGGGACCACTAAGCACAGTAGACCAGTGCGCTGTCTGCTGCGCCACGCTCGTACTTGCCGGTAATATATATATATATATATATATATAACGGTAATATATATGAAACGGGCACAAATATATCCTAAAGAAAAAAGTCTTCAAAGCCTTGGTGGAAAAGTAATGGAAACTGTAATGAAACGTTACGTCTTAAATAACAATAACAATATTCTCTAAAGTGAAAGTAAATTCTTTAAAATTTTTTAAAGTTGAACTTCACTTAAAACACATGAAAAGTAGCAGCATTTTTGCTCAAAAGTTAAAATATTATTTTGATGGTAATAAAAATATTCAAAATCACAAGAATGAATACTTTACTTAAGCTTAGAATAATTTTTGACTTTATATAAGTGAATGTTTCAATCGATTAGTGTGAATTTGTTCCTATGGCAATAGAATACATCAGATTCACTTTTCAGTTTCGAGTAAAGAATATTCATTTGACAACTCAGGAGAATTCACGCTATACAAATAAAAATCCGTCAATGTTTCGGCTGTCATTCTACTTTTCTAGCGAAATTTGACTCCAAAAAATTAAGAGAATTAACAGGAGTTACTTTTCTCAATTATTTGTAAATAATAAAACAAAATAATGCGTTATTTTTCAAAAGTAACTTTCCTAACTATATATATTCATTTTTCTCTATATAAATAGCATTTGACATCCAATAAAGAATATATCTTCTGACAATTTTTAAAAAAGGATTAAATTCGAATTCAATTTATTGGACTTCAAACATGTTCTATAGTCCATCAAAGGAAAAATGAATGACTTTTATGTCAAAGATTAGTATAGTTCCTCCCACACCTTTTTTGTTCGATTTTCTCAATTGGATTGAATTGATTGATCTATACTTTCAATGTTAGTCTGACAATTCCATCGTTCGAGTCAGAGAAAAGATGTGTAACAAATTAAAACTTACTAATTAATGTATTGACCTTTTCGACGGCAGAGGGTCATTGAAAAAAATGAAAAAATAAAGTTATATCTGAGTATGGCTTTGAAATTTTCATTAAAATCCCGACAAACGTATATAACAATCCAATATATCTTGCGTTACGCAAGGATTTATAATTATTGAGCTTGACTATGATGTTACAGATTTATGTTTGTGATCTCTTCTCGCGCGTCGCGTGACCATGGTTGTCGCAAAGTCACTAAGTAATAAATGACTTCACAGCGACAATGCGTAATTGATTTGTCAGGATCAGCTAGGATTACCGGGATGCAACAGAAACGACGTGTTCCGTGTAGTGCCTCATCGCGTTGCGTCACGTCGCGTCACAATAAATTATATTGGCGCATTATTACCCGATATTAATATCCTGTTTAGCAATATCACGGCGAACCAAGCAAGATTAATGCGTCGCCTAACATTACTTTAATTAACTCCTGTATACGCGACTGCCCTTCATAATGGTCACGAACATCGCCCACAAACTCGCCACGAATACGTATTTTTCGTTAAGGCCTATTTTATAATATGCCGTATTTCGGAGTTGGATATCGGACATAGCCTAATGGGAGAATTTATTTTTTGAAAATGAGTTCTCCCCATCGGTTGCATTCTAATATCTGACTCCGACATACAGCGTATTGTAGAACAAACCTAAGAAGCCGCATTTTAAGGGAAAAAAAGGAAATTAACGCGAACAGATAGTCGGATGAATTCCAACCTCTCTTGATCAGCAAACCTTCCCTCTAAATTTCTTGAAGTAGAATTTTATTCAAAACAGATGAAGGGTCGTGGATTTTCCCTCGAAGTGTTAGTGAAAATACCATCATTCGAAATCGCAAAAGTAAATGTTTCACTCAAGTTTAGAGTGGATTCTAACTTAATATAAATGAATGTTTTAATCGGTTGGAATAAATATGTTCTTTTTCTTTATATAAATCGCACGACGGTGAGGTAGAAAAGGCTCCATTAATGTAATTCCATTTTCTAGGCATAGTGACATCGAATATTTCTCAGGCGCAATATATTCTAATATTCGTACATCAGGATAGTTCATTATTCGATGAATCGACAACTATGCTCCAAAACAACAATGATGATATCCAAAAATTCAGAAATAATGCACCCGATTAGAAATGTTCATCGTCACTTTGTCTATGAAATTGGATTGCATTAATGGAGTCTTTCGTACATCAGATTCGAATTTCGAATGGAAATATTCTCTCAATCATTCAGAATAGAGAATTCTATTCGAATCTATATACGAATGAAAAATTACTTGAACATGAATAACTTGGTAGTCATTTTACTTTTTGAATGAAAATTCACTTTAAGAAATTTAGAAAATTCGTTTTCGCCTCGTACGATTCGTACGTTCGGATAATAAAATTAATATCCGAGCTGTTAAACGTAGTCGGGTCATCAAATTTAGATAGGATATCCTGTTCCTAAAGCGCCGAAGATTAACCAGCGATCCTTTCAATTACTACTTCGAATTCGACCTTGAAAAGTCGGTTTCCATGTAAAGATTCGCTAATAATTACATAAATAATTAACGCTCGCTAATAATGACATAAATTATTAACGCTCGATTAAATTAATTAAGGAAGGAAATTACAATTTCCCACTTCCCATTTCTCACAATAAGAGTAATATAACACATATACGTAACACATATACGTAACACATAAATTTGGGCTGCATTCGCTTTTGGCGCTCACCTGCTGTAAGCATTATTTTACCTCCTTTTAGCAATGTAATAAACAATAAAGACAGAAAATGCGTGTGCGACCGAACGCAATCTTACATTGTTGAATCGGGAATTATAATATTAATTTAACGTTACTCTTACTCAATATTTATTGGATTGTTAATTACGATAAATCTGTAATGTGCCGATATCGAAAATCCGACTTTTGCTCCTTATATGGTGAATTCCATTTTTTGAAATTGGATAAATTGACTGTTCTAATTTATTAGCACTTTGGGCCTAAGTAAATGGAAATGTTTATTCATGTCTCGATATCGGAGACTTCATGAGAAGTTTAACACAATCATTTAAACATACTGTGAAATAAGATGTTCGATAATGTTTTTAATGTATTTCATAATCTCTTAGAGTTACATTAAGTAGATTTTAATTTTGAAATGTTATTTACTAAATAATAAGAATGAATAATAATACTTGAGATAGAGAGATTATCGTAAGAATTAGATAATTAGCATGAGATTTTAACTGATATCATAAAAGATTTCTTTCCTTCTTTTGGAAACATTTTTTATCTTTTCGCGACTGTTATTATATTTTAAATAAAGAATGAAGACAAACGTTATTTCACCTCGCCATTTTCTCGACGTAATAGAGTATAACAATTTAACATTGTTACTAAATATTTTCCAGCAAATGAGATAACGCACTTGCCGCGAGTGCAGGATTGATATCAAAAGAAAAATAAGGGAGAACCGCAATAAGTCTCGCCCGGGAAAATTGAGTGAAATAAAATCAACACCAATCACTTATCACCCGAAAAGCAACGAGCTCGTTGCTATGTTCACCCTTAATATCGAGGGAAAAAATGGGTCCAAGCAGTTAACTGAAAAGTCGACTTAACCGAAGCTATCGCTGGATATATATTGTAACATTATGAGAGAAAAATAACTCGCGTGAAAAAAGGCGACAACCATATTATCGCGAAAACCGATGACAAACTCTTATTACTATAAATAGTTACTAATGTGTGAATAAAACCGTTCACGCTCCTGATTGTGCCCATCACGATCTTCAAAACCGCAAATGCATTTTCTTCGTTGGATCAACACGAAGAGAAATCTGCGTATGTCAAATATAAAGATGAATTTTCGATACCAAAGCAACGATCAAGTAATTTATCTCAAGAATAGAAACGTGAAAAATTTCATGTGAACTTGGTGATTTAGTAATTAATATAATTTTTTGAAATAGGAAAATGTGGAACTTTTTTGTTTTGAGAGCTAATTGCGAGAAACGAAAATTTAATTAAAATCTTAATATTTTTCAGCTTTTATATATGCATGTAATATATTTTCTATAATATTCAAAAAATAGAGTTCGCTTTCATAGCTGTATATGATCTTTTTAAAAACAAGTAATTTGGTACGCCAATTCAAGATATTAACTAATCAATTCAAATTTTGAATAATATCATTCTCCATATATTTAAATCTACTTTAAACGTTCAGTGATTCATGAGAAGTTCACGCGGAGTCCGGAGGTAGATGTGAATTGACAAACATAGTGACAATTACAAAAGTGAACTCTTATTTGATTAGGTAACTTTTACTATAATAAAAATGCAATATATCTTATATGAGGTTGCGCGACAAATAATTTCGTATCAAATGGCAACAAACGGTGTCATAGGAATATCGTATTTTCATTTTGCGCATAAGTAATCGCGCGTATTTATTCGTACGAGATGAAAGTATGATAGATAAGGAAAATTAGTAAAAATATACAATCAACCTTCCTCCTCTGTCAGGATGAGCTGAAAATGAAAAATGAATAATTCCGCTCGAAGTTATATATTTGTTATTCAAAAGAAACAGAACTAGCGGTCACGTAATTCATCTCTAAAGCGGAAACGTAAAGAGTGAACAATTTCGCATGTTTTCAAATTAGAAAATATATCCTTTCCGCTCTCTTCTCTCTTTTACCCCCAGGAATCATGAATTTTCTCCTCTAATGTTAACTCTTGAAAAGTGTAAATGTTCTAAATTAAAAATATTTGTGTAGAAAAATGTGTAGAAAAATGTCCACTTTATTTACAAGTTTTCGACCTGAGGAAAAATTGCTAGAGAATTGTTATTTCTTAATCCTCGACAACATTCCATCCCGTCTAAAATGAAATGGAAATAATAGTTCAAAAAACATTCGATTCCGGTTTCGACTCACCGAACGGTCATCGCGGTCGCGTGACATCGGGACGTGGAATCGAAGAAACTCACTCACTCGCGATAACGATAACGAAGCACTCACCATGCTGCTGTGGATCTCTGGCTCGTTGGCGCGCAAGAAATCAGTGCGACAAACGGACGCGGATGTGAGCGCCGTAAAGTGGAGAGCACCGCACACGATAATGTGACGCGACGGTGTTTAGCGACGTGTTGTTGTTGGTGGTGGTTGGTGGAGGAATAGGTGTCCAGGGTTGGAGAAAACACCCTTTATATAGGAGCCACTCTCTCTCCTTCGCTCTCGGTGCGCATACCCCCACGCTGATCCTCTCGTCGGCCGGCGGCGGAGGAGATGGTCTCACCTGAGTTATGATTGGCCGCAGCGTACAACACGATACCTCTACATTATTTTGATTCAATTACACCTCCACTGCCGACTACTACCAACCTACGTAATCTCCTTTATTATTTATGATCCTCGGTAAATAATAATCATCGGGGTGAACACGAGTCCTCCCCGTCGCGGACGGCATTGTCGTCGTCGCCGAACGCCGAGACTTTCTTCTCTCTCTCTCCCTCCTTCTCTCTCTTTCTTTCTTTCTTTCCTGTGCTTTATTTCTTCCTCTCTTCTTCGATCATACCGCGCTTCGCGAAGAAAAGCAATGATGATACCTCGGTATTTTCGCGTCGCGTACATACAAACGCGCCACTTCAACTTATTCATGAATGCCGGATGAAATGCAACAGGTAGAACGCGTGTGTCTCTCCGTTTACTCACGACTCTATTCGAGTTTACGCGACTCTGCTATCTCTTTCCGGGATACGACGTAACATTCAGAAAATCGAGAGGTAGTATTTTACATCGCATTATTCACGGGGGTGAGATTGCATTGATGGTCGCGGCTGTTGAACGAGTTACGAGATTAGCTGTTCGATTTATGTCAATTTCAGCTCTCGAGTGACGACCAGGCACGTCAAAAGAAGTGCTATTGCAGCACGCTACATAATGTGAGATTTCGTGAAAGATACGTCCCGAAGTTCGAATTTTGTCTCACTGTGCACATTATGTGAAACGCCCACAATTTATGAGAATTTCGTTTTAACAAAACTTACTTTTTCTTTAAACTTATACAGATGACTATTTAGTAAACGAGAGAAGTTGAGTGAAAAGTAAAACATGTGATATAATCCACTTTGTCGAACAATGCAGTAACATACGCACACGCGAGCGCGCGCACACTCACACGTATGCACGCACATATATACAAACATAATACGATTTGATAGTAATTATATCATATAAATTAGTATTTATTATATTAATTATAATTTTTTTTAACTGTTAGGTGCTTGAATTAATTCTCGCTGTTTTTTGCTATAAAAAACTCGTGTTTATTTCAAAAGAATAATACAGTATATCTTATTCAAAGTATTGCCTTTCGGAAGCTATAATCTTTTCCCACCTTTCGGGTAACACGTGGATTTCGCGGTAAAAAATTCAAGTTCTTTCGAGGCGATCCAGTCATCGAGCCATTTTTTGATATATTCTAAAGAACTGAAGTGCTGCTCAGAAAGGCTGTGCTGCATCGACCGAAACAAACGGTAATCTGAAAAAGCAACGTCTGGCGAAAAGGGCGGGTGAAGTAAGACATCCCATCCAAGTGCCTCCAAGAGTTCCTTCACTGGTATTGCAACATATGGTCTGGCATTGTTATGGAGAAGAATAATTTTATCATGTCTTTTGGCATATTGCGGGCGTTTTTCTTTGAGTGCTCGATTCATATCGAGTAATTGTCGTTGGTAGCATTGACGATTTGACTCGTTTGCAGCAGCTCATAGAACACTACATACGATTTGACCTCACCAAATACACAGCATGACCTGCTTTCCATGAATATTCTGTTTTGGCGTTGATGTTCATGGTTTGCCCGCAACCATAATTTCTTGCGTTTAGGATTATCGTAACGAATCCACTTTTCATTGTCAGTCACAATTAGATGCAAAAACCAATTCCGTTTTTGTCTTTGAAGCAGCAATTTATAAATGGTTAAACGTTTCATTAAATGTCTCTTTTTCTCAATTCATATGGGACCCAGGTTCCTAGCTTCTGGATCATTCCCACGTTTTAAACATTTACTAACAGTTGACTTATTGACATTTAGTGTTTCCGACAATCAGAATCTTGAATCTTCAGTAATATCTCAAATTCTCCATCTTCAAACTTTTTCGGCTGACTAGCTCTTTGTTATTCTCGTCAAAATCGTTATCTTTGAATCGTCTAAACCAATCTCTGCAAATTGTTTCAGATAGAGCATGCTCCCCATAAGCCTCCACTAACAAACGATTAATTTCAGCAGCAAATTTCTTGATATGAAAGCAGAAAAGTAATGCTTCCCGCAAAACTTGGATTGACGACGATGAAGGTGATGTTGTGTGTGTGGTGGGATTGGAAAGGATTGGAAGGGAATCGTTCAACAGCACTATGAGCTGTTACCCCCCGGTCAAATAATTAATTCTTTTTTTGGTACAAAACCCGACATCTTCAATGTAATATGAAACTGTGTTCTTTACACTACGATCTAATGTCGCACACTGATTATTAAAGTCTATTGACAGTACTTTCATATATATCAGCAGTCATCACTTTCGGCCATGTTGAAATAACACAACTACTCACCTCTATCGGTTAACAGCAAAAATTAATTCAAGCATCTAATATAAAATATTTATATTGGGTGTGGGAAAAAGTCACACATCATTAGCTGTGAGAGAATTTTTAGCTCAAAAGAATATTCCGACGCTTCCCCATCCACCATACAGCTCTGACTTAACTCCATGCGATTTCTTTTTATTTCCTAAGCTCAAAACCCATCTCAAAGTACATCATTTTGGGACAGTTGAAAACGTCTAGTCAGCTATGACAAGGGTTTTGAACAATATCTCATGTAAAGACTTCCTCCATTGCTATGAAGAGTGGCGGCAACGCTGGAATCGCTGTATTCCCTCACAAGGAGCCTATTTTGTAGAAAATTAACTGTAATTGAATTTATTATTAATAAAAAAATTTTTTTTTCAATCATTTTCATTACTTTTAGGACACACCTCGTTTATTATATTATATAAAAATATTATTATAAGCATAGCCTCTCAAGATACCGTCAGGGCACATTGGTATCAGAAGTTTCTGTTGGGATATGGATAGGTGACCGCTTCAGGATTGAAATCACAGAAGGGCACATTATGAGATGAAAAAATGCAAAAATTGAAAAGTGCCACTTTTCTAAAGTAAAATGATCTAATATGAATTTGTTTCACCTCGTTTGCGTTAAAATAATTTTGTTTATAATAATTTTGTTTATAAATTGTGTAAACAATATTTTGCAATCGCAATAATTAATTCCTACAGTAATTCGTCAAAAAATCATTGAAGTATTGACCAGTGACTAATTAATATTTTTTTCAGTAATTACCAGTAATACTTTTCTGTAAGGGCGATAATTGTTAAATCTTAAATTATTGTATATAAATATAGAATATGTAAACATAGAATTATTTTCTTAAAGCATGGTAAATTTTTTACTTCTGTATAAAATCAAAATAATATATTATCTCCTGTTATATATGTTAAATTATCTATTTTAAAAATATTGATTGTGAAAAACTTTTTAAATTTAATACAATCAAATATACTATAATATCTGTACACTGTATGGATAAGCACATTTATAGATATTTAAATGAAGATATATTATGGAAAAGTTATTAAGTCTTGCAGGAACTTTGCGCTAAATAAAGCAATACAAAATAAATGTGCCAATAAAGAGTTAACAAAAACATCAAATCACTGGTATTTTTGGGACTGCGAATGAGCCATTGAAAACATGTAGCTTTTCATGAGTTAAATCTGTGTTTCTCTGCATGTTTATAAGAGTGACGCGCGTGTGTAATGAGAAAAGAATATAATCAATAACAAACAGGATGTCCCAAACTAATCTCAGTTCCCGTGATGTGCAAGTAGAACGAGTGAAACTGAGCAGAAAAGTCATGTGCCATTTTACAAAATTGACAATAGTTACTGAGGAATTAATTATTTTGTTATGAACTAATGAACGCACGGAAACAAGTAGACCGGTTGTTGTAGAAAGAAAAATGGCTTACTTTTGAAGATTTTCTAGCAATAATAAGCACCAACTGATTTTTAAAAGCGGAGTAACGCAACAAGCAGTAAGCGGCACGTGACAAGGCACAAGGCTGTGTGTCGTAAAGAAACGCGCCTCCCGCTATCAATCGATACTCATCATAATTAGGAGATCTTTAGAAGTAAGCCATTTTTCTTGATATAAAGTCGAACCTACTCCTTCCCATGTGCTCATTAGTTCAGACAAAATAATTAATTCCTCATTAACTATTGCAAATTTTGGAAAATAGCATATGACTTTTTTACTTAGTTTTATCCATTTTACTTACACACCACAGAAACCGAGATTAATTTTATATATACATATCGGTTGTGATGCTCATTGATTTGAAAAATTTCTCCCTCGAGAACAAGATTGGGCCACACAGTGCGCCGTTGCATAAGCCCGCATTCAAGTTAATAGTGACGTAAAGATCGCCGCCGTCGCTCCATTGCCGGCACCAAACGAACTGTTGCATAAATGCACGTAATTCGTACTCGTTACTGCAGGATATAACAATACTGCTATATGCTATATCAAGAGAAATGTGTCCTCACACTACGTACTACGTCCCGCTCTCGCGATAATAGGATCAGAACGACAATTTCATGTCTAATCCTTGCAAAATTTGGACACAAGTTGGATTAACTGTGAAGTAGCTGGAAACTAGAAGACGCATAATTTTTACGCGAGAAAGCGTGTCGCATCTGTCTGAGAATGAAACTAATAATTAATGAGAATAAAACTAATAATTACTAGTATCAAGCTTAGACTTATATATAAATATATAAATATATAAATAAATAAATAAATAAATAAATAAATAAATATATATATATATCATATATATATATCTTGCTTTTTAATTTCATGACGTTTCCTAAGTTTTGTCGTGATTTCAACAGATAAATTGTTGTTTTTATCCTGACAGTGGCATAAATAAGTAACTAATCGTTTTCTGAATTCTACTAGTGATATAGATTTATGTTGCTGAATATTATATAATATCCAAACATTTACAACTGACGTATTTAGTAAAAGCGTCTTGTATTTCCGCATTGACTGTCATTAGAGATAAAAATCGAAAATTGCATAACTGGATCAATACAAAAAATTAAAAGATGAAAGAATAAACTAATGAAAGTTAATAGAAGGAACTTGTTTTCCAAATGAAAAAGAAAAAAATGTTTACTCCAAATATTTATCTATTCCCTCTTTTGTTAAATGTTTTATTTCTCTCGTTTTTTACTGAACAAATTCGAATACGGCAGGTTCTTGTTACTAACCAAAAAGTTAAAACTGATTGCAACGCCACGTGTACCGCGGATGGTATACGATATGATAACTATTATATACAAGCTAATTACTTATGGATCGATGATGTGATGAAATATTGTGTAATAATATATCAATCTTCAGTCAAAATATTAAATGGCCTGAATGAAAAATTGAACAAAAACAGCTTAGCGTGGAACGTGTTAAAGAACATTCAAAAACGTAGTTACCGTTTGGTAGTCGTCTTTTACCGTTTGTCAACCGTTTTTTTGCCGTTCTTTACCGTTCATCAACCATTTCTTTGCCGTTCTTTACCGTATGTCAGCTGTTTCTTTACCGCCTTTTTTATTATTTGTCAGCCGTTTTATCGTGCGGAGCCCCGTTTATTTGCACGGAAGGAGGGGAGGGCGGGTCGTCGCGAACCAGGCAGACGAGTGCAGGTAAGTGGGAATTGATCGCTGAGGGCGATCGAACGGGTGCTGTGGGCCGCTGGGGTGATCCGTTTACCGTTCGCTGGAAGAGTGTCGACCACTGGAGGAATATCGATCGCTGGAGGGGGTAACGATAGTCGGTAATACAGGAAATACAATACAAAATTTGCGAAAGTAACAAGTGGAGGGGGGAGGGGGAAGGATTAAAATATTTGACATTTTTTAAAATTGAATACATCGTTGCAAAGAATATAAAATACTATAAAACTTCTGTACGAGACATTTTTCATATACTTCGTACTTTAGAAGATATTTGCTAAAAATGAACAAATTCGTTTTTTTCAAGGGATTTTTTAATCCCTAATCGTCGAGATACGCCGCTAAAAAAATATAGATCTTTTATTTTTTGATGCTCTACAACATATCCAAGGTCCATCAAAATCGATGAGATACTATTCCGACTGTTCCCTTATAAGTAACAGAACACAACAAGTTAAATTTAATAATAAATAGTCGAAAGTAATTGCTACTGAATATGGAATTTCGCAGTGTTCAATGCTAGGACTCCTGTTATTTATTACATACATTATATACAGAATATAAATGATATAGTTAAAATTTGTTCCGAAGAGTGCAAAATAAAAATGTTTGCGGATGATACAATATAATATGTAATAGGTAAAAACTGTGAGAAATTGGAGATGAAAATGAATGTGGTACTTACTATAGTAAAAAAATTAATGAATGTGAATAAGTTAAAACTAAATATGAATAAAACAAAATATATGATAAAAGTTTAAATAAAAGCTGAAAGGAAATATTACTTTAAAATGCTTAGATGGAGATATTATAGACCGTATAGAAGATATAAAATATCTTAGAATAATTATTGATAGTAAACTCAGGTTGGAAGATCACTATGATTATATTGTTACGTCCTGTGTTTGTGACAACCCGTTGTATCCGGTGACGTTCTTAATTTTTTATCCTTTTTGGTGGTTAATTAGCAGTGAAACGCACTAAGACGCAGTCGTAATAATAACAATAATAAAAAAGAAAAACTGAATAATTTTGGAAAATGGATAAATAATTTACGAAGAATTTTCCAACAGCAAACCGCGCAGATTATCATTATCGCCCACCATAATTACGTCTCGATACCGTCACGCAGTCACGCGCGCAATTGAAAGAGTTCGGTCTAAATAATATAGGAGTATCTCTCTCTCCGGTGGTGTAAAGAGGTCAAAGTCATTGCGTTTCATTGATCAGCGGTAGGCGACGAAATGTCTATTCAACAGGTTGTTAACTACTTAAATCTATGGCATCCCCTTCTTGCCGCTCTTCTCCGCGGTCGATAGATCCTGGCCGTGCTTCTCACGTAGTCAGTGTCAACTCGACGACAGTTCGCACTTCAGCCCACGCGATGTGGCCATCTAATGTCATCTGCAAAGTGCTCACTTTCCTCTTCTGCTTCGCGGTGCATGCAAGAAGCACGCCGGAAAGTAAGTGATAAAACGAAAGGAGGGAGAGAGAGAGAGAGAGCACGCGAAAGATACTCTGAAAATTCCCGCGAGATCCCGAGATGCAGATCTTGTCGCACGGCGCGCAACCGCGAGGTCAATTTCGCGACCATGTACGCGGTCATCCTCGTACGTGTATACAACTCTCGTTGTGACACTCCGAGTCGCCAAGGTGTGCCCGTCCCTCCTCTCCTTCCGATGAGAAGACGAAAGACGAATGTTCGAAGACGAAAGCTTCGCACGAAAATTCATGGAGATAAAGGGAGATAAAAGGAGCAGCGGCAAGAAAAAGCGAGAACGAGTCGTTAATCACGTTATCATAAAAACAAATAGCAACATCTGGGGCGAGAAAGCGAACAGGGAAAGAGATGTTACTTCGTAATATGGGCAAGCAAGAGCGAGAGGTTATACTTGAAGTAATAGCATTATATCCTTGAGATAATTAACGCTGCAGTATTTTTATTGGGGCGATCTCGATTTTATTTTTAGAAAATTGATCTTTTCTCTCCAAAAGTCGATTCTTTTTAATGAATCTTTACTTTATAATCTTCGATTTTTGTACGAATCAATTCTTCCAGTAGCGAAGTAACGAGTCGATTTTCAATCCTTTAATATGCTTTATTCATCAATATTGTTTCGTTTAATAAATAAAATTGAAAAACTCATTCTAGAATCAACATCTGATACAATTAAGATATTATTTTACATGCTTATTTCAGTGGACTGTATAAGTGATGATAAATTTCGTTATAAGCAAAAGTTATTATCAAGGATCTAGAATATCAGCCAATCATAATCTTAGTTACTGTTTCAACTCAAGGCTGATATTTCATTTATAACTTCTGCATGCAGGACGTAAAGGTTTCAATTATTAATGATTCTTTTATACAGGGTAATTCATAAATGCATGTCAATATTTAAGGGATAAATGTACACACTAAAATAAATAAAAAACGTCATATGAATATATGTCCTACATATCTTAATTTTCGAGTTATGAATGATGAAAGAAAATGTTCGAAGTGTCTGCCTTGTGCGTCAATACACGCTATTGCACGCATTAGCATATCTTGACTTTATTTAATGTTTACAAACAATATCCATCGATATAAATCAGGCATCTCAATTCATTAGATTTTTATTTTTGAGGCCATTTAAAATGTAATGTGTATTCAACGCAAGTGGATAATGTGCACGATCTGCGAGAAAGGATATAAAATGGATTTGAGACTATTCGAAAAATACCTGGTATTTTCGAGCAAGTGCGGAACTCAATGCTAAAGCATACAATAGCATCTGTTGACGCACGAGGCGAGTGTTTCGAACATTTTCTTTAATCATCTATAACTCGAAAACTAAGGTATGTGGGACATATATTCATATGACATTTTTTATTTATTTTAGTGTATATAGATTTATCCCTTGAAATATTGATATGCATTTATGAATCACCTTATACTCTAAACTTTAATACATAGGAAGCTTATATGAGAAACTTGACTTCGAATCACATTACAGTTATTGCAAACATACGTGATAAAAGATGCAACATTAATAAACGCATATTCTCTCGTTTATATCAACCTTCGTTCAGCAGCAGTTGGAAGTAAAAAGAAAATTAATCATTCTTGACATCCTGATTTGTTGTGATAAAAAACATCTATACTATCTTTATTTTCATATCATATATAAAATTTTCATCTTCATTCTTCTGAAAACATACTTGGATGTGTGGATTGAATCAGTCTCGTATAAATACGGCAAATTAATTTGATGTTATGTTTAAAGTTATGTTTAAATGCTCATTATATGCGATTTTATTTGCTAATTTTTAAGAAATAGATTTTTCAGTCCGATTTTAGTAAATCGATTCTAGTCTTATTCTGATTCAGGATCGATTAAAAAGTCGATTTTTTTCTAAAAGATCGCCCATTACTAGTTTTTATATACAAACGCGCCGTGACATTTTCGTCATATTTCGTCACTTGATGATTGCTCTCCTTGATTTAACAGATCTCAGACGCCAAGACACCGAGCGTAAATGTAAATGAGGAGGATGTAGCATTCTAAGACCGGGCGATTTCAAGAGCTTTGGTGATGCTTGAAAAATCTATTGTAAATTTTTGCTATTTTCACTCGAGAACATCGTGGGATTTTGCCTCGTAAATTTTTCGTCAAAATACGGAACTTATCTTTTCGCAGTTATTTCTCTAATTGGGACATTTTTTTTACTATTTCTATCTATCATGCGCACTCAACCATAATATCAAAATCTGAATTTTGTTCGAATTATACGAAAAAGCAATACCGCTCGCAACAATTGAGATATTCTCTGTCAACGGACGTTCATACTTCCTTATTTACCAGCGACTACAGATTGTCGTCATTTATCCACTTGTACTATCATTCAACGCAAATCAACTGAATGAATGAGTGCCAGTATTTTAGAATGCACACGAACTATTCACAATCAACAATGTTATGTATTTGCAAAATAACAATGACATTACGTTAGCTGCTCATTTCAGCCATGTTCTCTCGAATTTCTCGTATATTTCAAGTTAAACAGATAACTTGACACGAATTAATATTTTCCTGGAGAAAATGTCAAAGTTTCAACTATATCAACGGTTTCTGAACTCTTGACCAGCAAGAAATGTTTACCGCTTTAGGAAAATAGAAGATATGTCAATATAATATCCAGTATCATAAAATTATATAATATTGAAAGTTAGACGAACTCGAGACGATTAATTTGTCTGATTTTTATCAAAAAAGAAATCAATTCTTAACCAGTTGGAAAATCCGTTATTAAAGCTGTGAATGTTGAAACAGCTTGAGTTTTAAATTTCGGAGAGAAAAGGAAGATTCGAATGAAATGTATAATTAAAAGGAATTGCGATATTTCCGAATGAAAAATTATTATCGTGATAATCTATCGTGTCACTCATTTCGCGAGCGATAAACGACGGGCGAGACGCGAATCGGTGTATTTCACTTCAATCGTTATAGGTCGTTGTAATTAATAAGATTATAGTTTCCGACTTTGGCTCTCGGTGATTTATAGAGTCCCCTATGTGGAACGAGACATGGACCGATCGGTTGAAACAAGATTTGTTCGTGAAATATGACAAGTTCTCGCGACCGATGCAACACTATAACACCACAGTGGTTAGCTTCGACATCGCGATCCTTTATGTCGATGTGGCAAGTATGCGATATATTAGACACGTACGAGAGACCTTCGCGAATCTACAATCGGCCTTCCCCAATTTTTCAGGACGAATTCAAGTCTTCGGTCACCATCAACGGTTGGGCTTCCCATGTGAGTGTATATTTTACTCTCTTGTTATATTCTATATATAATTCTCTCCTTAGAACGATTTGTGATATTGCCGCGTAAAAATGAAATGTTCGCCAAATTTATGTAACGTTTTCGGCTAAATTAGCACGATATACATCAAACATATTAACACGTTACGAGAAGCTAATTTTTATTTGAGAATTTCCTCTATTACCGAGTGAAATTTAAAACCGGCTTTAATAACCTTTTTATTTTATTTTTTGTTAGTTCACTAAACACACAAAAATATACATACGATCTACAATACGTTAATATAAGAATATTAAAATAAGTAATTCTATCTATCTCTATTTATATTAAAATGTTCTACTTATATTAAAATCTCTGAAATATGTGATACAACAACATCGTTATCGGTCATCTCGTTAATCGCGCTCAATAATGGCGTTTAAACGCGACGTAATTGTAACATTTAATATTTATTCGTTATCGTCATTACCGTTACCGTCATCTTCCATTATAACATCCAGGCGTGGATGGACGAGAAACTTAAATGGGATCCCTTCAAGTACGGTAACCTCCAACATATTCACGTAGGCAATCACGAGGTGTGGCAACCAGACATCATGTTATATCATAGGTACGATCGCTGTCCGCCTTAAGATTTAATTTTTTCGCTCTAAGGCAAATTTCTTCTCGAAATATCTATCGAATGATCGCACTGATATGATTCTTCTTCAATTTTGTTCGCTTAGCGGCACCGCGAGCACCATTGAACATTACGGCGACACGGGGTGCATCATTTACCATGATGGTCGAGTGCTGTGGGTGCCGCCCGCGCAATACGTCGGCCTCTGCGAGCTGGATCTTCACCTATGGCCTTTCGACACGCAGATCTGCACAATGACATTCGGCTCTTGGACGTATCACGGCGAGCAGATCGATATGCGTCTGAGCGAGTCAAAGATGACCGTATGAAAGATGAATTACGCACGGCCGCGCTAAAAAGTTTCTTTATATTTGCGTACTTTATGTTTTTTACTATTCCTTGTTAAAACGCATGAAATGATTCTTTTCGCTCATTTGTATAGTCTAAGTTTCTTACAATGAGATTCACTCGACAAATAAGATAACAGTCGCTCGGATTCGAATGTAACAGCAATAATTTTTCTCTATATTCATACAAACAAACAAAAAGCGATATTCATAGTGAGATCTTTTATTTGAAACCGTCTCAAGTTCATCCGAATATGCTACATATTTTTTCATTGGTTATAGAGCATCTGAAGGTGAACTTAAGGTATTCTTATTTTCTAAATTTGCTAGAGTGAAATTTCACTCCAAAAATAGAATGACAGCTTAATCACTCGAGTCCGAGTGATTTTTTATTCGTACAGAACGAATTCTCCACTTTGAATAATCGAGTGAATAATTTCACTCAATACTGTGAAGAGTGAATTCAATGTATTTTACTACCACAGGGACAAATTCATTCTAACTGAAACATTCATGTATATGGAATCATATCGACTCTAAACTTCAACGGGACATTCACTCTTGCGACTACGTATAACAGTATATTTTTACTATCGCTTGGAGTGAAAATATTGCCACTTTTCCATTCCAATAGGTATAGTCTGTAATTTTTAACAATGTCGTTGTACTGTCATTACGTTGTCGTTGTACAAATAACATAAAACTGCTATGTATCGATAACGTAACGAAAACGACATTGTCATTAAAAGTTATAGAATAGTATTACAAAAAATTTAGATAGTAAATGTAAAACGAATACAATTATGAATGCCGTCCTAAATCTGTTTTACATAATTACGAGAGTTGTTTAGTAAGTTTCGAGCTTAACAACGAAACATATATATTTTTGGGTAAGATCAATTTTATTTTTTAATATAGTCTCCTTTTAGTTCGATATACTTTGTCCATTTCTTTTTTAATCCCTTTATTCTGTCAGTAAAATAGGTTTGATAAAATCCTGCAAAATACACGTTTACGGCGGCAATCACTTCATCATTGGTCACGAACTTTTTTGTAATATTTTAAACACACGTTCAGAAAATATGCCTGTGGCATCTACTATCGTTTTGATCTTCATTTTCCGACCATCCAGTACGATTTGATGTTCTTTGTTGACTATTTCCTCAGTCGTTGCAGTTTTTGTATGACCCAGGCGCTCATCATCAAACATATTTGTACGGCCACGGTTAAACTCGACAACCTAAACTTTAACCATTAATGAAGGAGCAGAATCGCCGTAAACAGAATTCAAACTCAGTTTTAATTTCCGTTGGAGTTTTCCTTTTTATATTCAATGATGAAACGATATTCAACTTTTTTCATCGGTGAAAAATATAATGATACGCGTACTACAACTGACTGTCAAAATAAAATTAAGCGTATGGCTGAAAATTTGGGAGCAACCATTACAAAGATGCAGCTTTCACATTTTACAACAGTTTCCGATCGATAATGGCATCTTTATGTTCAAGCTCGAAACTTATCAAACAATTTATATATATAAAAGAATACAAGACAGTCCATAAGAAATGTCCCCCAAAAGAACTCAATGTGATAGTGAAAATACTGCCACTTTTCATTTACTTTGAATAAGATTCTACTCCAAGAAATTTAGACAATACAGAAGGCTATCTTAAATAGAGACGAAGTCGGATGAGATGAATCTAATTCATCCGGGTTATTATATTATTCGATAATATATAGAAATGATATTGATAGACAAATATAATGACAGGAAGAGGAGGAACTGCTCGTGAAGAATGCGGAGTGGAAACTCATGGATTTAACAAAGACGCGCAAAGTAGTTAGCTACGCTTGCTGCCCGGATCCGTATATTAATTTGAATTTTAAAATGACTTTAAAGAGGAATTCCACGCTCTATTGCAGTATACTGCTAATGCCCGCCGCTGGTATGTAATTAGCATAACTATTCATTATCTAGCATTAATCCACAATACCGGAGATTAATCTAAAATACGAAGTTTCCATGATCTCTCTCTCTCTCTCTCTCTCTCTGTGCATGCATGCGTACGTGCGTATTTGCGCGCGCGCGCACCTGTATGTGAGTTGATGAGTAGGTGGATGCGAGTATATGTATGAATATGTATATACGACTCTTTCGTCTCTTAACTTAATTAAATTTAGAACATTTACACGAGTGAACTTTCAGCCATAGTATTCCTGGTTTTGGTCACGTTCTGGCTACCGCCTCAGAGCGAAATGAAAATCAACATCGCGGCTTCTACTATATTAATCATCAGCGTGTTTTTAACCTATTTCGGTTTCAAAGTGCCATTAACGGCAAATCCTCCACTAATAGGTAATATTAACTCCCGCAAATATTCAAATGAAATTTTCACTTTCGGGTTCCGTAAACACACACATATATTATTTTTCTCTTTTGCGATTTTGCAGTATGAAATTTCTTTTTTTTTTTACTTATATGGACACGTCTGTTTTTGCAGTTTACTTTTTTAGCGGCTGCCTCTGTTTAGAGACAATTTCGTTGATACTAGCGACAGTAGTGATCAACATCACGAAAAGGACTTTCTGCAAACCGCTCCCACGAAATATTAGACTGTGTCTGTTGAGTTGGCCCGGCAAACTGTTGGGTCTTTCCGATCTTATAAGTGTGGTAATTACATTTTCATTAATTAACGGATATATTTATATTTATTTAAAATAGTTTGAGAGAATGTTTTTATATTGACTAAAAATTTATTTTTTGAGCTGTTTATTTTTAAACAGATCGAGATCTACATTTTTGCTCCATCTTTCCGAGGAGTACTTTCAAGAAAAAAATTCTTTAAAGATGTATTTTGGAACAATTTATTTCTGAAGATACATCTTTGAATAATTCATTTAGTAATATTACTCCTGCGATTTATAAATTGTTTTCACTTGGCATAGTTTTTTACCATTGTGATTTTGCTGTTACGGAATTGGAACGCCGCAAGTTAAGGAACATCCCATGAAAAAAACATATATAAATGAATTTTATCACTTTGAGGCTATAATTATACATAATTATATATGTCCACACTACAAAAATATTGTCCAAATACAATTTAAGTAAATGTTTACGTTGAAGGTAATCCATGATATCGATGTTTAACCCATTGGCATCATGACTCTACTTAAGTTTCTGTGTACAGACATTAGCGGCGTCCAACTGATGGTTGGCCCGTATCACCACGCGCGGCTGTATATCGGCAGTTTTATTATTTTCGTTAACTTCTATAATTCACTCGTTCTACAGTACACAGTTAACTTCTACAGTAAATGACTTCCGAATCGTTCGTAGAGTTTATTTAATATGGTATTTTTGAAAATGATCGATATAAAAGAAAGTCGCGGCTCGCGGAATATTCCGCGCTCGGTGATAAGAGACGATCGTCATGTGCGGAATATTCCGCTCACAGATGCAAATGGGTTAAAGCTCTTATTGTCAAAGCCATCTTAATGACTTCAGAAGCGAGAAGATGAATGAAAATTTTTACATATTAAAATGAAATGACTCATTGTTAATAGTACCATCAATACGCATTGTTAGTTATATTCAACAATGGCCTCAGTTTGTCTTTATAGAAGCATTTGCTTGGTACAGTTCGAGTCATAGCTCATTGATTTTAAATGGGCTTTTTCCTCTGGAACGGTAGCTCCATCTACTTTAGAACTTCTATATTCGTAATTTGCGCGTCATAAACATTATTTTAAGCCAAAGTTGAATTCAAAACAATTATCCGGAATAATTTGGGTGGAATGCTTATGGGCACTTAGCTGTTCTGTTTATATGATTTTTTCGGTGAGATCATTGTTATAATTCAATAATCATTAATAATTTTTCAGATCGAATCGCGACGGCCTATACCAAGTCAAGAATTGCGTGGCAAACTCACAGAGGAATCCACGACCAACTCAACATCCAACATCTCGGATGACGGTGATCGGCAGAACATGATCTCGCCGACGAAGAATATCACTCAACTGGAATGGATTCTAGCAGGCACGGCTGTCGATCGTATTGCTTTCGTGCTGTTTTGCTTAATCTTAGCCACATTGGCAATAGTGTGCATTAGTTAATTTGTTAGATTAAGTTTTTTCTTCTCTCTCGCTCTTTCTATCTCTATCTTTCTTTACTTTTTTTTATCACTTCAATATAATAATAATCTAACATATACATACACGACATACGTAAATAAATCGCAACTTATTGTCTGATACCGTTTTATTCTCGTATAAATAAATAACTTGTACAATATATAAATGCAAAGTATATGTACAAATATGTTTTCAATCAAATGGTATTTATCCTCTGGCACATTCGGTGTTCCGCTGAGCATCTTAACAAATTGTATTGATAGAACGACAATGAAATTTTCAATTTTCAAAGAAGAAATAACGTATCGATCACAAATGGCCTACAAACCACTTAACGATCAAGTTGATATGTGAATGTCACTCTATCTTTATTTCTCACTGGATGTTAAATAGAAACAGATTAATAATCCAACGCAATTACTAAGTGAAACGTAGTCATGATCGATCGGCAGATTAAAAGCTGCAGTATTTTTTCGATGAATTTCGTAACACATTCCATGTCCAATAGAAAAATGTGTTTTCTAGTTATTTTCAGGAGATATATTTTCCTAATGGATGCTTTATGAAATTCTTCCAAAAAAAGCGTTGCAACTTTTAATTTATCGCGTGTGTGTGTGTGTGTGTGTGTGTGTGTGTGTGTGTGTGTGTGGACGCGTGTGCGCGCACTTGGGTGTGTGTACATAAGGAGAAAACAAGGATATCTGTTTTTTTTTTAATCTCGTTTCTCCATATGAAATTTGTACATCGCAAGAATCCCAGAAACGATAAACATAATCGTGATTATCGACGAAAGTGTCTATATAAAAACATTCAACATCGTATTGAAAATATATCGGTCGTGCTCGCGATTTCTTTTTTGTTCACATGCATCTTGTAAACAAACATGATTGAAATACATTTATGATATACTATTATACAAAAAAGGTCGTATCAAAAATGACTGTTTTTATATACTCTTTAAATTTCATTCTTGATATATCTCGCAAAGTCACTCGTGCGGTTTACATAAGTCGCGGCGCTTTAACAGCTAACACAATCGCATATAAGATTGATTTAACAAGCTTGAATAAATCGTTTGAATATAACAAGAAAGTTAAAATAAATACGCATAGAAAAGCTTACCTTTACTATAAGTGGTTGTGTAACAATTTACGCTAGCGTTTAAAGCAAAACAGTGTATTAAGACTCTATTATGTTGAAACGGCAATCCTCTTCCTCCTCGTTTTTTCTTATGTTTGTATTTATGTAGAACCATCGTCACGAAAGCTGCTCAATTATAAGAGCGAAGGTAGAATGGAGAAAGGACCAACGAGTTTCTTTATTTATTGTCGTAATTATGTATAATTACTAATAGATTTGTCTATACATCCCCCAGACCACATTATTATAGTTGTGACAGCTTTAGAAAATGTTTTCTCTTTTTGGCAAACCATACCACCTTGTATTCGCGAACGCAACCTTATTACAAGGTCAACGTTTGTGCTATCTATAGTCTATCGATAGAAAATCTCCGATCCGCAATTAAAATTGTTAAATTTGATTATTGCGTCGTGCGTGTTGTTTAACCAGCTCCTATCAAACATAACTCATACTGAGTTGGTATAATACAATGTCGCCAGAAATTCGCAGAGTGTCCGTGATTGATGATTGCAGTCTGTGCTTAAATTCACCGATCATTTTGTTGCCCAGCCATATCGTGTATCCCTCGTATTCACAACGAATGCTATTGAAAATGAGAATTCAAAGAAACTCTTCTTATTTCTTGTCAGTATATGCAGGGTGACCCAAAAGTCACTAGACCATTTTAAAATATAATAACGTTTTTGCTATTCATTTTTTCAAATTTTTTTTTAGATTATTTATATGTAATCCTTGGAAAAGAGTTATGGAAAAATTCACGACAGAACAACGAGTAAAAATAATCCAATTTTATCTACAAATTCAACGATCAATTGTGCTAACCCAAAAAACTTAAATTCGTTATTTTCGGGTCAGACAACCACCATCTAAACAAGTTGAGCGTCGCTTGTTTAGATAGTGGTTGTCTGACCCGAAAATAACGAATTTAAGTTTTTTGGGTTAGCACAATTGATCGTTGAATTTGTAGATAAAATTGGATTATTTTTACTCGTTGCTCTGTCGTGAATTTTTCCATAACTATTTACCAAGGATTACATATAAATAATCTGAAAAAAATTTGAAAAAATTAATAGCAAAAAAATTATTATATTTTAAAATGGTCTAGTGACTTTTGGGCCACCCTTTAGATATGAAAGTTGATCAAACACGCTTCGGTCATACTACTTAAGAATAAAAGGTATAATTTGTTGTTAAATTATGTTATTTAAAAGAAAATTCCTGACCTCTGCCACTTTAGAAATATAATGGTTATTTGACTCGTTATAGAATTGGACTGCTTGGTGCGACCTAACAGTGTCATGAAGCAACTTTTTCTCTGGCTCCTTATACTAGTACCAAAATTTACGCTGCAAACTACTGCCGTTTTCACGAGAAACTGGTTTAACGCATAAGCCGATATTCATAAACAAATGTCTTATGTTTAAGACCGCCTTAAGTTCAGATACTATATAGTACATTTTCATGACTAAAGAACATCTGAAGATGAATTTAAAATGGCCTTAAATATAAGATCCGACTATGAGTACCGCCTATAGTCAGATTTTATATTTCAAACCATTTTAGGTTCTTTTTCAGATGCATCATAGCCAATGAAATGATCCGTACAGCAACTAAAAATGAACTTAAGACGATCTTAAATATAAGTTTCAGCTATGAATACTATCATAAAATGAAAATCGTAGTAAGACTCAATGACAAGTGGGAAAACTTGATTTATTAACTAGTACGATCCAACAGCGTGTTGGACAACTTTTTTCTTTCCAAATAATAAAATTCTTTCTCTAAAAATGGTAAAATTCTTTTTCTAAGTAACAAATCCTTATATACCACTAAATATTATTAAAAATAATTAATCATAAATTAAATAATTATAATACATTAAAAATTTAACTATCGTTTTAAATATTTTTAAGATATAGCTGATTATTAAAAATTGATTTTTTTTTAATACTTTTTGTACATTAATACTTTTTCAATATCGCTCATTTTCTAAGTAAAAATAATAGCCTTACATAAGTAGGAAGTCTCGACCGGGCATCCAAGATAAGTGTCCTTGATGTCGCTCTTCATGTCCCCATGCACCATTGATCCAGCAATTCATGACAACGTATGGCGCGCTATTCCCGTAAAGAAATCGTGGATTTAAATGCAACGGTATAACAGGATGAGGATAAATGTTCTTGCCTTTCTGTAGATTTACGTAGAACCTGCAAAGGACGTATAGATATATCTTGCTGCGACAATAAACTCAAGAAAATAATTAAACGTTAAATTACAATCGCAAATGCTCACGAGTGTGGAAGTAGCTTCAATCTTCCGGTGATAAATAGACGAGCACCGACACGAAATTCACTGCCGATGTCCACAGTAATGGGAACGTCCTGTAAAATAACAGAATATTATATTATTATATACAACGATATATAAATATTATACTAATTCGCAAACATAATTTTTATCTAAAATATATTTCTATATAACTCTCACGGTTTCGACGATATCGGTTCAGGATTAAAATTGCCAGAAAACTTCGACAGATTATATTACTTTTTAAACTTATAAAGAATAGGCAAAAAAATTCATTTCTTATTCACAACTGTTCGATATTTCCAAAGTCCATCGAATATTAATTTGAAAGTATTATTAATTTAATAATACTTTAATACTAAATATAATAAATATTAATTTGAATAATTGTAGAAAAATTACCAATATACTACAGAAACCGATTGGTATCGATAAGACTTGGTATAGATAAACCTAATGAAGAATAACCGATCGAAACAATGTCAAATCGATATCAATACGATCAAAACATGTATTATGGACTTTTTCGGAATTAATTTCGATCGGAATCACTTAATTATTCCTTATAAAATACAAAAGAAAATCTAGAGAATAATTAAAAAATTCCGATTGGAATCGATTTCGAGCAAGTTCATAATACGTATCTAGGTCTCATCAACACGCAATCAATCACTGCATCGGAGCGCCGACGCTAACGACTGAAGCAGGGAAGCATCAGGTGAATCCCTATATGTATTTAGAGATAGTAATTAATCGCCTGAGGGAACGCAGATGTCGAATTTGATTCAAAATTTCAGCTGCCGAAGACAGCGAACGGAGCGAAGACAAGAATCTTAGAAAAGCTAACGGTCAAACGAATACCGGCGAGCCACTACCGGAAGGACCGGGAATGCTATTGGAGACGAGAGGCGTGAAAGACGAAATCGATGAACACGAAAGACAATCAGCCGCCGATGGAAGCTCTCTGAGTTTCCGAAAATTTAGGGGAACCGACAAAAATAAGGGAGCCCTGATATTATCTACAAGTCGTGCGCTTCGTGCGTTTACTTCACTAGTGGCTACTAAATGCGCTGTTATTATTATTACGATCGAGCGAACCAGTAAGCTAGTAAGCACAAGAGAGAACGAGCGAACCAATGAGATAGTGAACTACCACATGACCCGAAGAACTACGCCTCTCGGAGCTATGAATTAATGTAAGACCATCAATTTGCACCATTATCAATATTCATTATCGTGAGAGAAAATCTACATGACCGGCTGCCGGGACACATTGTCGAATCATTCGGTGAATAGTTTCTGGAAATAATTGGCGTAATTAACGAAAACTGTTGTTAGAATTGCGCTGGGGGATTCTTTCGCTGCGTCGAACTTATAATACTCTCCCGATTCGAGGTTCGCCGTATCGTAGACGCAAAAAATTAATGCTCTCGAAAATCTGCAACTACTAGGAAGTCCTTTGCGTGAAAGTTATCCGCCAAACCACCTCTTGATGTCAGACACAAAGTGCTACCAAGTTAATGCTGGAATTACCGATTGCACGAGGGTGGATCAAATATAAACAAGCCTTTTGCAAAAAACCATTTTTCCAAATCAATTCTAATTTACATTTTTTAAATTTTTCTATATAGTCTCCCATTTTATCTATACACTTCCTCCAACGGTCTGGTAATTTTTTAATCCCGGTATCATGAAAAGTTCGCGGACGTGTATCAAACCAATTGCACACGAACTGCTGCACTTCCTCGTTCGTTGTGAAGCGCTATCCACCAAGGGCTTCCTTGAGTGGCCCAAACATATGGAAGTCGTATGGTGACAGGTCTGGGCTGTAGGATGGATGTTCTAGGACAGTCCAGTGCATATCGGTCAATTTTTGTTGTGTTACTGCTGCGGTGTGGGGTCTGGAGTTGTCTTGGAGAAGCAACACACTTCTGATCGGAATGCCGCGCCTTTTTGACCGATAGGCAGCTCGAACTGAAGTTCCTGAGAGATTTCAAGAACAGTTAAGTGCCGATCGCCTTCGATGAGTTCTCGAACAGCCTCAGTGTTCTGCGCTGTGATGCTGATGCGGGGACGACGGCAATGTTTTCAACACGCTCCCGTCCTTTCTTAAATTCGTTACACCACCAAAATAATTTATTTATTACGAAATATTTGTTCCTCTCACCAGATCTTTCTTTTCCTTTTTTTTTCTTTTCTTTTATTAACTATCTCTTTTCCTCCTTGACTATCTCAGTAGATTCTCTTCATGGAGAAAACAGGCGTTGGACCCGTCTTGAATCCTTTATAGAAAATGTCCGATTATATTGTAGCCTATTATCGACACCGGAAAATATCTCTTATCCGATTTTCCAAAATTATTCTCCTCTAGTCCCGTCCTATTCCCCTGATCCTCCTCTCTCTTCCATTCCTTCGATAAATCCTTCTTCCTCTCTACTGATTTCTGCTCTTAAATCATCCCTAGGGAGGGATCACCGTAGAGTATTCTCTCTGATTCCCCAAGATATTCCATCTAAAATTCTCCTCCAGGTTCTCACTCTCTGTCTCCCTTGTGTACACTGATTTGTCGCCTAATTTATCAATCTCATCTAATTCTTTCTCCTCAGTCTCTCCTATCCCTAACTAACTCGTTGCCTTCTTCTTAAAAATGTCACACGCACATATACACATTCACACACACGATTATATATATAAATATTACTTGTATCAATATAGTTGATTTTACAAAATATATTCGATTTTATAAATTAAACGAACTATTTGTCAAACATATAATGCAATAGATTATACTTGTACATTATGTCGGCGTAGATCATTCAATAAAATGTATTTCATCTTATAAAATGTATGAACTACCTTATCGCTTCTCGATTGTATGAAACGTATAACCTGATAAATTGAATTAGTACATTAGATTTTTTAAATATTTTATTGGCCCCTAGCATATTTTTTTGCTTTTTCATTTGTCTTTCTGATACATATTTTTACGAAATGTTTTGCACCAGTTTATATTATAATGAACACTTGTAGGTATCCATTGCATTAAGCAGATCCTGAATACAACTTTTTACAAGTTTCATGAGAATTTCCGCTTAGGTGACCACTATTACCTCATTTTATACTAAATTCTTCAGCTTATGAAAAATTTGTAACGGTATGCATTTCTTATTTGGAACGATTATTCGTCGAAGTTTCCAAAGTCCATAAAAAGATCAGAATTATTATTTATAAATACTGTCGTTAAAATTGAAATCGTTATTCGAATTCACATTTTATATTTTTTCGCTTGCTCACACCATATATATATCGAAAGGTTTTCGAACTTTTTTCATCAAGAAATAACAGCAAATCTTACTAGGAAATCCGTGAGAGGTTCTTCGACTGTCAGGACCAGCGTTCGACATGGTCTGCAGATAGAAAGATCAGGATACACAAATAGATTTAACTGACGGGTTCTGACATCTTCGATAGTTCCGTTAACTTCGAGGGTTATTATTTCTTCGAGAGGCATCCTGTACGAGAAAGCGCAGAAGTGCTCTCCATTCACCGCGATCTGCAACGTACGAATAGCGATTAGAGCTGGACTGTTGACATTTAATTCGTTAACGCGTTTATAACAACGTTACAATAACAATGACATCCAACGATCGTGAAACATTACACACATATCTCACCTGAAATGCGTTGTTCGTACAGAAGATAGTTATGTGCACATAAGTATTCCGACGAAAAATACAACCACTCGAGCCGGCGGGCGAGCAGGTTTCCTCGTCGTCCCAGGATCCGCGCACTTTCGTGTTCCTGACGATGTATCCTCTATCGAGCCGCGGATTGAAATGCAGGGCAATGTTCCCGGGTGTCTTGCATGTTAAATTCACCGAAAATCTAATATGATTCGAATGAAATGAATGGTTATATTTTCAACTTGTCGATGTGTTATTCTCAAGAAAAATTAATCAGGGATTGAAATCAGTATTAAAAATATCATATTCGTACCAATATTTCTCGTTATTATACAGCCGAAAAAATTCGATTCGTGTAAATATTACAAAAATTTCGGTATATCATCACACACACACACACATTAATTTCCAGGTTACATTACGTTCTGTTGCGGATCGAGCGAGGCTCGAACGCCGGGTTGCAGAGCGCCAGGCGAGGTGGTCTCGCGCGCACCGAACTCTCGCCGCCTGGGTGATCCACCCGCGAGCGAGTTCGCTCGCCAGCGGGTATATAAGAGCGCTCCGTAGGGGACCGTTCTCGTCTACCGTAGCACTGTCAGATTGACAGAGCGGTGTTCTATGCCTGCCGTGCCTTTTTAATTCTATGTGTTTTGGGTACTGTAAGGTCGTCCTTGGTAGTGGTGATTGGCCTTCTGTGCCTTGACTTCCCTTTGATGCCGGAACTTCATTACGCACTCGTGACCGTGCGCGCCACAGGATCTTTCGGGCGGAAGACCGGAAAATACATCCGTGAACTTCTTCCTTCGCCGGACAATTAATGGGATCCATCGCCGATTAATTCGTTGTCGAACGTCGCTCGAAGCGCGAGAATATTATCTGTCCGTCATGAGGCGTTTGCGCGAAGCAATCCGTAAGAAACGGCCGGAATTGTGGGAAACCAACTCGTGGATTTTGCATCACGACAATCCATCATCGCATACCTCAACACTTGTGCGTGAATTTCTGACAAAAAACTCAACAAATGTCGCTCCGCAAGCACCGTATTCACCAGAGACCAAGCAGCAGTCTAAACAGTAGACCTGGCGAAAAAGCTCCGAAGAAGGCCAAAACGGCCCCATCGACCGGAAAAGTCATGGCTACGGTATTTTGGAATTCCCGCGGTGTAATCCTCATCAATTATTTGGACAAGGGAAGATCTATCACGGGGCAATACTTCAGTGATTTGCTGGGGCGATTCGATGTGGAACTGAGAAAGAAACGGCCCTTCTTGCAAAGAAGAAAGTCCTGTTCCATGACGACAATGCACCAGCACATTCATCCGCAATCGCTACAGCTAAACTGGTCGAATTGAGATACGAACTGCTCACCCATCCGTCGTATTTTTCAGATTTGGCCTCCAGGACTTTTTCCTGTTTCCCAACATGAAAAAATGGCTCGCAGCGAAGAAATTCACGTCGAATTCGGGGGTCATCACTGAAGTAGATGTCTATTTTGCAGAGTTTGAATAATCATACTTTTTAGAGGGCATTAAAAAGTTACAGCACCATTGGAAGAAGTGTACAGAAGTGAAAGGGGACTATGTTGAAAAATAAATTGAAATTTTTCCGAAATATTGCGTTTTCATTTTAAATCCTACTACTTATCAGACCGCCCTCGTATATGTGATAAAATAAAGTTATATACATTACTGGTATTAACACGCCAGCAAAATAATTTCGGTATTCAGTCCCTGAAAATTCCATATCACGTTGGCTACCAGCATATCAAATATATGTGACGCAACGATCTCTCACAAAACACAAGCATCATATATGTGAAGCGAACATTTCTCACGAGAAACCAGTATTATATATATATGACAGCGAAAATTGTTTTTCTGTGATCGCATTATCAAACTGTCATACAGAATACGTAAAAAAAAAGAAAATAAAATATTTTGTGGAGAGTTTTCAAGAATAAACTCTAGTAGCAAACATGATAAGAAAAAAGGAAAATGAACTATAAAATGAGTACCTTGAAGCATTTTCAGGAATGTATCCGATGATAATGATGGCAGAAGTTGGTTTCAGCGGTTGCAGCGGGACTGGTTTGCAGATATTCTGAAAGAAACATAACACAGTATATTGTCAGAAAAACTCTCGACCGCAACTTTTCTTCGTCCATACGTAAATATATATATAAATATATGTCAATGTTTATATGCTAATCGTTGTCATCGACTCGCCGCGGTACCTTGCTCAGATGCGTTCGACATCGACCACTGATATTTTATCTACGTCATTCTTCGCGTCTATTTTATTATCATATACATGCATCAACATAAGCTTATTTCGAGATATAATATATATATATATATATATATATATACCAGGTGTAGAAGTAAGAAACCGGAATTTTTTTGTAAAAATTACACGTCTGTTGTTTTTCACGAAACTTCTCTCTATAATGTTTCAAGACACGAAAATTTTCAAATATACCGTAGGATTCGTAGTTTTGCAGAGGGCGGTCTCTAATAGTCTACATAGTTGATTGGCTAATTTAATATAAAATTTTTTAATTGGTAATCCAGCGGAAAACTCTAGGCATCAGCCGATGTGTGATTAGATGTGCTATTGCATTGTGCGTTAACAAAACTTTCCTTTTTGCTGACATCGGGACAAAAGCCAATAGAGGTATTCCTAAAGATTGATCATGAATCTTTTTCTCCAGCGTGAACTCGTAAAAAATGAATATTTTCTAACGTAATATAAGCATATGGGAACATTCACTTTTCATGAATTTTGTCTTCTATTTCTAATTTCTTTCACTTTTCATAAATTTACACTAGAGGGAATTTACGATTTCCTTCCTGAAAATCGTCTATCGCAAGTGATACATTTAAGATATGGGTATAAGCGCATGCGTACAAAAACAATCACAAAACAAATTCGGGAGCCACAATTACGAATTGGCAGAATGACAGATATTACCAATGAATATCATCCAACCGGTTCATCATCGATGCGTATTACGTAGAAAGAATGTGCGACCTTGGCGAAGAGAGAGAGAGAGAGAGAGAGAGAGAGAGAGAGAAGTGGTGTCGCTAATACTTACTACGGGCGCGGTTTCCTCGTCGAAATAGGAAAAATCCTTGAACGCCTCCTCTCTGGCCAAGATAAGAATATCATTTGACGAGGATGACATGCTGACCTACGTTACCAGAGTTTAGTCAGCGAAAATGAAGGCAACCAGGCGATAACGACACTTCTTTCCTGTGCACGATGTACGCGTACACAGCATCGCAATACGTCCGTATGTGAACAATCGCGACGGCGTTCTCAGACCATTTTCACGCTCACGGTCTGTCCGTCCGTGTCTGTTTCATCTATTCTTGTCCGTTTCCACTACTTATTACTCTTACGAACAGACTAGATGCAGACTGCGACTGCGTGCGCTCGCGACCGAGAACATATATATATATATACAAGGTAACAAGTGTAACTAACATTACCTGCAGCCAAGCGGAGCAGTCGATTCCTCATCGATCTCCTCACTCCGCTCTACGTCTCCTCCCACGGCCGCGCTGGATTGTTTCTGACGTTGTAGATGAGGCGTCATATGACACTAATTAATTCATAACGATTGAATCTACCGTTAACTATATACAGTTACATGTTATTGTACAGAGTTGGAGAGTAATGCACATTACTTATTACGCTATTAAGGAGGAAGACTAAGCAGAAAGATATCTCAAAAATAGATATTTTTAACAGTTTTTTGAGAAAACCGTGGTGAGTTAAAGAAAAATTGGTTTTATGCGCTGAATAATAAAATATTTGCCAAATATTTTCGTAGAAAAAGTTCCCTATATTTATTTATTATAAAGTTATTAGTTGCTAAAGAAAGCTCTTCTAAGAAACGGGTTCATACGGCCGGTCTCCGTCAATAGGTGTGGAACCCAAACTTCACATCGATTCGCATATCCCATCTTGATTAAATGCTTATGTACCGTTGTCCTGGGAATATTAGTGGCATCCACTAACTCGCGCACACAATATCGAGGATTTTCAGCGAGCATAGCCTTGAAAAATTCCGTATCCATCGTTGCTGGGCGGCCGCTGCGGTCTTCATCTTTCAAGTCAAAATTGCCAGCTCTAAATCTCTTAAACCGATTGCGGACGGTCCTAATAGTCGTAGTACCACTCCCGTAAACGGTGCAAAGTCTCGTCTGCAGTGTCCTTTGCACTATTATCTTTTTTAAAGCAATGAAGCATAACATGCCGCAAATGCTTCTTTTGGCTATCCATATTGAACGGCGTAAGAAAAGATTTCTAAGAGACTTTGTTACCAATGAAACGTACTTTAAAAGAGCTCTGGGACGACTGAAACCGATGCCCTAAACGGCCAAGAGATAAGCCTGCGTGTTTATATAAACACAGCCAGCTAGAGTCATTCGTAGTGTGGTGCGGAAGAAACTTATGGGACAACCTAATAGTAAAATCGACAATCAAGAACTAACTTCGTTACCGTATGTAATCATAATCGAATGATAGCTTAACATTACTACACAAAGCCGGTGTTGCAGTTTATAATTCGATACGATAATGAATTTAATTCCTATTTATGATCATATTTTTTGTAATCATCGATCATATTATTGCATCGCCTCTATTTACTCATTCGTTTCATGTCTCGATCAGAGATGCCAGTTCCCTCATTCTGTAACTTTTAACATATGCGTTACAGGCATAATGCATGCATTATAAATCTATACACAGACAAAAATATCACAAATAGTTGCGCAACGATCGGATGTTGGGAAAGCTGATTGTATAAATGAAATTACTTTCCAAATATAAATTCTCAATCTCATTAAACTATCGGCTGCGTTTCTTCCACATACAGCAACAAACGAAATATTATAAAACAGGTCTAACCCCCGCAAAGACAGCCGTTTGCTACAACTGCGATTAAAAATCGCAAGTCGATTTAAAGCAAGATATAAATCTCGAGCAAATAAATTAGTACTACAAAAAAGAGGTTTCAAAGGGTGGGCCAATAGTCACTTTACCATTTAAAAATGAAATAACTTTTTTATTTTTAATTATTTCATAATTTTCTTTTTAATATTATAATGTACACATCTTGGAGATTTTTTTGGTCTAAACATGAAAGAGAACATCTTTTAAATGCCCCCCGTTTTCCCCTTCACAAAGGCGAGCTCTTTCTATGGTACTCTCCATAACTGCTTGCAAAGTGACTCTGTTTATCATTCGAATTTCCTGACGAATATTGTTCTTCAGCTTAGCAAGAGTTCGGGGCTTAGTAACAAGCATTAGCTGTTTCAAATATTCTTTCATTTCAAGCAAAAACGCATCGAATAAGCATAATTACAATATTGGAAATGAGGCCCCTATACTAAATAATTACCCATTATTCTGTGTTATTTTCATCTATTAGTTTTCTACTCCCTACTCTCACTCTCTTTATAACTGTCATAACTGTATCTACAAAAAGTAAAAATGACACAAAGCATCCATATTCTTCATCCTTGAGATACATTTATATTTTACGACGATACTTATTTGACATTATCTTTGTTTCTTTTCCGCAGACCTTCTTCGAAAGTATTATGGCATATATATTGCGACACACATAAACCAACTGGCATTGAAAATATTAATCCGTACATAAATTATTTGTACCATAATAACCTCTTAACCTGAGATTCAAACGAACTGCCACTTGACCGATAGCGATGATACATACAGCCTTTTTCTTTTTCTTCTTCTCAATTATGGCTATGAATTACCCTGAGGCCTGTCTCCTATGCAGAAACTAGAATGATACAGCCTTCATATTCTCAATCGTGGCTATGGACTATCCTGAGACATGTCTCTTACGCCAGTAGCATGCATATAACCACAACCAAGCGGCGCAAAGGAAGCGTTCGGGGAGACGCTATTTAGCGCTATCGCGTCATTATATTTTTATTGCTTTTTACATATGCAACAAGGATAGAATGACGCGGTAGCGTTAAATAGTAGGTCTGTTTTTTTTCGCTACACTAAAACTGCACTAGAACTGCACTTAACTGAACTGATGCCGCACTGGGAAAAACTAGTACAGAATAGTTCAGTTTAGTGCAAAAGTGCAATGAAGAGGTCTGTTCGTTTTTGCCGCACCGTTGAAACGCTACAGTGTAGTAGACAACATGGCGCATCACATGGCTGTCTCTTCGAAGGCACCTAAAGCTGACCACACGTGGCACGACCAATCAGCATCGCGGATTCAGATTGACGTGAACTATGTCGCTTAATATATGATGCTTTCCATTTGATGACACAAGTCGATACAAACATCATTTTGTCGCATTCAATGAATAACAAAGATAGAGATGCTTACGAAGATAACTTCGTAACGTAATGACGTTATCAATAACTTTATTACCATAATCTTATCGGAGTTCGGCACCTACTCCGACATCCCCTTAAATAAGACGAGAAAAAACAAGTTTCTCGAACGTAGCAAAATAAATACTTGTGATGTTGTCATGGAGATAACAGTTTATTGACCACACTTGGGAATAACATAGTAGTCACAGATAGCAGATACAAATAACGTTCACACAAATTGTGAATTTTGCCAAGTTCAGTATATGAATGAGAAATAACATGTGGTGGGGATACAGTGAATCGTTAGATTTACAAAATGAAATTTCTCAAAAAGACAGCCGAGTTTTAAAAAATCTTGAAATACTTATTGTAGGTGCTAGTGATGCACGACATATTGTTAAAACGCTAGCATCGTCTTACATGCATCCTGATAGAGTTATTACATATCACGTTATCGAATCAACTTTGGAACAAGTTGCTAGATCAATACTTTTATTGAATATTTGCTTACAAAAAGACTTAGGTATGTATTTATAAATAAATAGCAAAGCTATTTTACGCACTTATGTTGGAAAGAGTTATATATTATATAATAAATATACTAGGACTGCAGGAAGCAACACGGTATTACTTGGAGATTTTAGGCAATACTCTCCTTAGACCAGCTACAGCAAAGTATTTAACAAAATGCACCAAACAGCTATTAGATATTTCAACTTGCACCATTGACTGTCCGTGGTTATCATTAGAAAACTTCAAGTACAAGGATAGAGATCATTTGGAGTCTATTTTTAAGTAAGTTAACATAATGAAATTAATATAAAAAGAAGTGATTTTAAATATATATATTTGTATTTGTATATATATATATATATATCTATCTATTTATCTATCTATCTATATGTGTGTGTGTGTGTGTATGATTATGTATGATAATTATATATCGGATAATAGTTATAGGATATGAAAAGATCCATTTACTGATATTATCAGTTTGACCTTGGGTGGCATTTCCAAAGTCAGAACAAGATCACCTTGAATTTTTTAAATGGAACTTCCTACTTTTTATTGCATATTCTTATAGCTTACCTTGAAAGCTTTTCAAAACACCATAAAAAGGTATTTTTTCATTAAGTACTTTTTGATTTATAAGACTTGAAAGTTGCAGTACCTCCGGAATTAGCATTACCCAAAGTAAATATAAGGACCTCACAATTCGTCACTTAATATTTTTTTACCACACCTTCTCTGCTTCTGCTGTTCTCTGTGTGTGTGTGTGTGTGTGTGTGTGTAATACTCTCTTACATGTATATGTGTAAATATAACACGATATATATATGTATACATAATACTATATATTTTATAAGGTTTTGGGCACGTGCAACACATGAAGGAATTCCTATTATAAACTATTGGGACTGTAGAATTAGGAAATTATTAAAAACAAGATACGAGTACAGAGAAGGAATTTTCGACTGGGATTACTATATGGTTTTAAAGCCTAGAGGCATCTTCAATCTGACTATACAAGAGTATAAGTAAGCATATAGTAAACATAGTAGAAGCTTTGTATATGTGCGTTATGGATATAAATGACGTATTAAATAATCGCGTAAAATGATATCAGGAAAAACGTCGACATGATCGCTTTCAGGTTACTCTCTGGTGTATACATTCCGTACACATGTGAATGCAAATATGTAATCAAAATTATGTTAAATCATTGTTAAAATAAATATATTGATATTATTTGTTAATAATTAATTAAATTAAATTAAATTAATTATTTAATAAAATTCGAATCTCAATATCGGGATTAATTAAACGTTATAAATATTCATCATCATACACAAATATATATTGAGTGATTGTAATTAATCAGATTTTGGAGGAATAACGGAGTTGCGTTCACATGGCTTGAAGGTGAACCAGTCCGAAGCAATCCAACTTTATTAAACAATATAATACAATATGGATCTGGATTTCTCCATTATGCGTACTTAGGAGATATTGTAAATGGTCCCTTTTTTACATGGGCTGCGAGCGAAAGAATAGATAAAAAGTAAAGTACTTTTCCACAATTAAATTTGCACATTTATTTTTAACACTTACAATAGATTTTTATTTTAAAGACTTAGGGCAACTGACATAGCCGAAGGAGAATTAATGCGAACTATTCATGAGATAAAAATGAAAAAATCTCTATGCGAAGACTATATTGGTGCTCATAGAGATTCTTCTATTTTAAATGGCCCTGTAGTGACTGAGATGCCAGATAATGAAATGGAACTTGAATCATGGATAAATACTGACAATAAAATGGATAAAGAAAAGATTTCTTGGGTTGAAGTACCAAATCACAAGGTATATTTTATATTTTGCAATAAGAAAATATGGATATTTCACTTATATATAATATCTAATAATTATACATAATATATATTATACGATATATTACATATTAAACGATTTCGTTTTTAGATAATCTTTCACCCTGCATCATCATTGGAATTGTTTAAATCTAAATCCGAATACATAGATAGGTATCATTTGATTTGGGTAGCACACAATATGACAAAGCAATTAGCAAATTTGGCACCATTAGTCTCAACAGGTGCATCGGTCATTGTGGAGTTAAGCAAATATGTAGCAGATTTGCGTAAAGAAGATTTGCAGAATTTTAACAAAGAATTGAAGGAGACCATGCAAAAAAATGGGCTTCGTTCAACCTATGACTTTGATTCCAATGAGCACACACTTGCTCGTTTATGCAAAGATTAAAATTCTTTTTTCTTTAATAACATATATACACACGTGCGTGCGCGCTCACATATGTGTGTGTGTGTGAGTGTGTGTGATCTTCCTTTATGCAAACATATTCATCACTACTGACGATGTTATTTCTCTATACTAATTCATTCTTAGCTAAATTCCAAGACTTACTCAGATAAACAATTTCCGTACGCCAATAATTAAACTGTAAATAATTAATTAACAATAAATAATTACTAATCGGCAGATAAATCTCTCACGTTTTCTAATATTTCATAAACTCAAACGATAAACATACCTTTCACTATTATTGCCTAATGCAGAAAACCGCGCAGAGTCTAAGCTATTTCAAGATCACGCCATATGCTATAGTGAAGCCTGAATCACACTATTTCTCTTTTAAGAATAAGAATCATGCCATATGCTATAGTGAAGCCTGAATCACACTATTTCTCTTTTAAGAATAAGAATCAAACCATATTTTAGCACGGAATCGTTGTTAACCGCCGACTAAATTAATTTCATATTTTCAATATTCATTCAATTTCATATTGTCATTATAATATCTATAACATGGACGCCGTGCTAAATTATTATTCAAAAATAGACTTATAAATTACTTATAAATAATAAGAATATACAAGACAAAAATTCGTGGCAATTATACCCAAGCAGCACGTAAACGTTCGAGGAATGTTCGCTTTACGTTCACTTGGTTTGGTTATATTCAAAGTGTGAACGTTTGAAGAACATACGTTTTAGAACTTTTAATATATATTTTACGTAGCAGCAAAAGTGTCGCAGTATCGACATCAGTAGTGACTGGCCGACCAGAGCGAAGAGTACTTGGAGACTAAAATCTCCGCAACGAAATTTTGTAAACCACTTCCGATGCACACTTTCGCTTACGGCATTCTCTCCGTACACGACATCTTTTCGTGAGTTTTTGTCTTTTCGGAAATAAAAAAGCGAAATACCGAAAATATACGTTTTTTCCTTCTATATTCAAAATATAATTAAACTTCGTATACGTCCGGATCTCGTTAAATACTTTCTTAAAATGTCGGCACAAATTTCAGCTTTCACTTAATGTGCGACATTTCATATATTTAACACATGGTGAAAAGCAGAGTAACCCAAAAGCGGAGTCATCACTCAGTTGACCGTCCACGTAAGTCACTAATTTTACTACTTTCAAATTTCCCTATATAGTTATCTATCGTGGACGTAACAGTAGTATTGCATATATGTCCGTATATCAACTATTTCTCTAACATTTGACGACTCTTCCGCTGAATGCGCAGTCTAGTTATTATACGTCTATGAGATAAACGCTTTTGGTTTCTGTCCACAGGACGCGCTTACCACGGGGCGAAAGTTCGCACAGTAGCCGATCAACGTGCCGTCTTCCACGAGAACTAAAAGTTTATTGGCTGCCGTATCGCTTCTTGCCGCGCGGCAAGCATTTCTGCGTTTTGTAGGCAGAAGCTATCTGCTTAGATATATTACATCTATGGATAAATCTTGAGAGAGCCTAATGATTGTATTTAACCTTTAAAGTGCACATACACAATGGTGATATATAGTGTTTATATTGTATCAAAGTCTGGTGGCTTAATTTTCAATCATGATCACAATGTTCCAAAGATCGAAATTGAAAAGTCTTTTAACTATCCACTGGACATTAAGTTGAATTATGAAAATAAGAAGGTGATAGTAGCTTTTGGACAAAGGGATGGAATAAACGGTAAATACAACACATATGCAACACATGTTTTTTTGAAAATACTGTTTAAAATGTGTTATATATATGGGAAATATAAAAGCAAAATATAATAATTTATATTTATTATGAATATTCATTATTAAGTCACATTTAATAAGTTATTAAGAGAGATTAAAATATTTTCAGTGGGTCATGTATTGACAGCTGTAAGTGGAATGGCAGTCACAGGACGTGAACTTGAAGATGGAAGAGATGTATTGGAGATGTTGGGACAGTCAGAAAATTTTCCTATTACATTGAAATTTAGTCGAGCAAAGATGACCACAAACGAGAAAATATTTTTAGCTTCAATGTTTTATCCACTGTTTGCTATAGCAAGTCAATTAAGTCCTGAACCACGTAGTTCTGGAATTGAAGTTCTGGAGGCAGATACATTTCGTCTGTACTGTTTCCAAACATTGACAGGTGTTAAATTTATGATAGTAGCTGAACCTTTTCAACCAGGCATGGAGATTTTGTTGAAAAGAGTATATGACTTGTACGCTGACTATGCGCTAAAGAATCCATTTTATGCATTAGAAATGCCTATTCGATGTGAGCTTTTTGAAACTAATTTACAGACTCTGTTAGAAACTGTTGAAAAATCTGGAATAAGCAATGTATAATTTACATTATATATATATATATATATATTTTATATTATTTATAAATTCACAATTATTTAAAATTCTTAATTGTGTGAGCGCGAGCGTATTGTGGCAGACAGCGCACTGGTCTGCCACACCAGAGGTTCTGGGTTCGATTTCCAGTAAGATCAGAAAATTTATATACGCTCGTGTCTCCTTTGGATGGTCTGGCAAGTCAGAATATCAACCAGAATATATTTGCCCAAAGTACTTCGCAGAAATATAATAATAAATATACCATTCGGAGTCGGTATTAAATTGTAGATCCCATATGCCTGTATAATCAACATGCGCAACATAGGCATATGCGTGAGAGAGAAAAACAGGTTTACGGGTCTATTATAAAGAGGAAGAAAAAGAAGAAGAATTAATTATGTAATTAAGATTTCTTAAATCACCCTAACTAGATATTTCTAGTATAAAAATTTCATTTTTATTAAGTAATTATATATTTTCATATCTCTTCTATCCAAAATATTATGGGTTATTAACATATAATAATTAACATTGTTTCGGTTGATACAAATAATCGTTAGCTACTAACACAGCTTTAATTTTAAATGTTATATCAGTATTTTCTTTGTTTATGTTACGAACCACACATATTTTTTTAATAATTTGATAATGTGGATACAGTATTTTCTGCCATCAATAATATATTTTGAAAGTTATTGTTTACTTTGTTACAAATACAAACGTACAAATATATTTCCAATATATTTTCCCTTCAAGTATAAAAATAACAAATTATCACGAATTTGTCTTGGGGATGTTATCACGGCACCATATTCCACTGCTCGTTCAAATTAGGTTCTTTGATCTATAAAATAAAAAGAGAAGTTTAGAAACATTTTTAAAAGTATATATGTAAGAATAACATATAAAGATTAAATCAGGAGATAGCGAGTAAAATTTATGATACATCACCTTCATTATCAACGCATCTACGCACGCATTGCGTATACGTGCAGAAGTTGCGGGAGCATCTAATCTAAAGTAACCGGGAATATTCATATCTCGACGTGCAGCCTTAATTGCCTCCTTGATGGCGAAGAACGCAGACGATGCTAGAAATAGCGGCGGCTCACCAACAGCCTGTAAATGTTTAAACAGTTGCAGTATTATAAGAATATTTTATTTTAATATTTGTTTTTTTTTCAAATTATATTGTATACTTCATTTCAACACTTTTTCTCAATATAGTTCGAAATGCAAGCAAAGTTCTAATAAGGTAATTTAACTTCTAGGAATTAATCAAAACCAAATTTTCTTTTTGGACCATTACACCGTGATTTAAAAGTAAACATTTTTGGCTAGATCTCCAAATCTTGATAAAAACGATTTTTTATATACAGAAAATATCCTTAACGGAAAAAAATAACTTTTTATAAATAATTTAGTATTTATCTCACTTTTTTTTAGATAAATACAAAATAACTCTCGATTTTCTTAAGAATAGTTTTTTTCTAAACGATTTGTTTTTCTAAACGATTCGTCATTTCTCCTTTCACGATATTCTTGAATACGACGGATTTTCTTTACATCATTTAGTCGAGTATTTTTATTTCCTGACTCTCTCCAAATTTCATGCAGAATTTTTGATAGGAAACCTTAAACGGATCTAAAGAGGTTAATTATTTTCGAAAGGCATGATTTTTAGTTAAGGAATATCTATCTTAGATTACTGTACATATTGATTGTATTCCGAACTATATTGAAAGAAAATGTTCAAATCACATTGAAATGAAATAACCGTGGCAACATAATAGTGTATACATGTGTGTGTGTAAAAATGAGAAATATTTGAATAACAAATTCCATTAAAGAATATCATATATTATATTATACCTTAGAAGAATATACCGCTCTCGGATTGGAAGCACCTTTTAACAAGGAAACGTTAAATTCCTTAGGTATGTCGGTGAAACCTGGCAGCTTGTACGCGCCAGGACCTCTGCTGAATAAAACCCCTGTTGGTGAATAAATCATTTCCTCTAATGTGAATAAACCATATCCTTGGATGAAGCCACCTTCGATTTGCCCTATATCGATGGCTGGGTTTAAACTTTCACCCAAATCCATGATAATGTCGGTTCGTAGAACCTGTATCAATTCAAAGATATTATTCGTATTGATAAAAACATTATAAATATTAACATGTTTGTTGCAACGATTCGCATATACATGTAAGTATAAGTTACGTTATAATGACTTATGTACAAAATTGAAATCATATTAATGTACCTAGTTAACATCAGGAAGAGATAGATAACAATGTTTACTAGCGTTCTAAGGCTGACCTTTTAAGAATATACATACATATATATATATATATATATATATATATATATATATAT